TGTGCGTGTGCATGAACATGTGTTGATGTTTGAGGGTACAGTCTGTATGTTACAGTACAAAAAAAATCTGATCTATAAAGGGTTTATCATCTGAGACAGAAACACTAAGAGCCTCTGAATTAGAAGAAGCAGTGAATTAGTATTTAACTTGACCAACTGTGTTTTATCATCTATAAGTAAATGCTAAATATATTTAAAGGACCAGCTACCAGGAAAATAGGGAAACTGACAATCTGTGTCTATTATGGAAGAGGCACTGTGGTTGGCATTTCACATAGATCAAATTTAGAGCCTGTGGTTTTTCCATTATTCTATTTTTCATCCCCTTAGTTGAGGTCATCTGCTTTGATTGATGACCAGAAAATTGGGCTTAGACATTTTAGTTTTACCCAAGTCCCAAGCTCTTGAAGTCCCTAGTACCACCATGTCTTCAGCCTTGTACATGTTTGTTGTTTTTTTAATAGTATGGGCTGTAAAAACTGCTTGATTAATAAAGTGGAAACGAATTAGGATGATAAATGTCACTTCTGGGCATTGGGGTGAGAGGAAGGGATGTTTTTGACATTTAACATTCCAGGTGACTTACAGAATGGATCGGGCAAAGAAAGCCGGTCATCTTCTGAGGCTGGCATTGAAAGCATTGTGGCGGTGGGGTAAGCATGGCGGCTGGGACTTGCACAGGAAAGGCTGGGATTCTGAGAATGAGCTGGAGGACTCAGGTCCAAGGAACTGCAATGATCTTCCTTCCCCTTCTCCTTCCCTTTTCCTTCTTGGGATGGGGGATATAACCCCAGAGCCTCACACAGGCTGAGCACCTGATCTCCCATGGAGCTACACTTCCAGCCCTGAGTTTTGTTTGTAATAAGCCCAACGAGAGACTTTTTGAGCAAGGAAGGTTACAGACACAAAGAACATGAAATACTAATCTAGCACCCCTCAGAGAAAAGGACAGAGGATTTGAGTGAGACACAGTATTAAGGAAGAAGAGCTAGCTCACTTCTGTGCAAGAACTGGGGCTTGTACTGAAGGCCTCATGCTCTTGTGCTTAGCTTGTTTGCTCAAGGCTGACATTTGACTGTTTGTGCCACACCTCCATTCTTATGAGTTGGCTGATTTGGGACAATCATTGGGACACAGAAATGTGAAGGTGGCTACAGTTGGCTGTTTCTGTGATTGGCAGGTATCTGGAGATATAAATGGTTTCTAAGGGGGCTGGGAAGGTGGCTCAGTGGTAGAGTGCTTGCCTTGCATTCATGAGGTCCTGGGTTCGATTCCTCAGCACCACATAAGCAAAAAGGGAAAAGCTGGAAGTGGCGCTGTGGCTCAAGTGGTAGAGTGCTAGCCTTGAGCTGAAGAGCTGAGGGACAGCGCCCAGGCCCAGAGTTCAGGCCCCACGACCGGACCTCCCCCCCCCTCCCCCCCCAAAAAAAAAAAAAGGCTTCTAAGGCACTGAGGATGGGATGGTTGAGTGCAGGGGACATAGAGGGAAATGGCCACATGAAGACTGACATTGCTTATCCCACAGACACCCTTCCTAAGCAAAAACTGTCACCTGGTAGTATTTGGGATGGAAGAGAATGGCTTTTATGGAATTGCTTTGAATATAGGCCGTCAGCAGTGTTTTAAATCTTTCTCACCTTTCGGTTTCTGTGAAAGTGGGGAATGATTTGATTTTCTTGCCATCTCTTCCTTCTATTAACAACTTGGCTACTATTGGAAAGTGACTGTACCCAAGTTCACTGAGTGTGTTTTGGGATCACTTGTGGATAACTACAAAGATATCTTCTGGTTTTCCTATCGTTTGAGTGGCAAAACTTGCTACCAATGGTCAGAACTAGATCAATTAACAAAAGGAAGCCTGAAATTTGAGATTAATAGCATATATATATATAATATTAGTTTATTTTCTTCCATTATTTTGATTGTCAAACTTTAATCCAAAAACAAACTAAAAACCAATGACTTACTATTTTTAAAAGCTTGACTTACTATTTTTAAAAACTTAATACAACATTAAACACACACACACACACACACACACACACACACATTTAGGGACAATACTAAGGCCAAAATGACTCAAAAAAATTTTGGTGGTGGTCCTGGCATTTTGAAACCAAGGCCTTGTGCTTGGCAGGCAGGTGCTCAATTACTAAGCTCACCTTCAGCCCTTTTTGAGCTTTTTATTTTAGAGTGTGGGGATAGGGGCTCACTTCCTGCCCAGAAATACACATGGCCACAGTGACCCACCCTATTTTAGGCTCCCCATCATTGCTAGGGTGACAGGCACTTGTCACCACACCTACCAGGTTTTTGTTAAGATGGAGTCTTGCATACTTTTCTGCCCAGGCTGACCTAGAACTGCAGTCCTTTCAGTCAGAGCATCCTTCCTAGCTTAGGATGACAGGCATGCACCATTATGTCCCTGCTAGGCTGGAGAAGAGGTCTCACAAACTTTCTGCCAGAGCTTGCCTTGAACCACAGTCTTTCTATTTTCAACCTCACTAGTAGCTAGGATTGTAGGCATTAGCCTCCGGTGACAGACCTCCCCCCACCAAATTTTTTTTTTCTTAAATTCGAGCTACTGTGGAATCCTCATGCTAGTGTTTACACTCCTTTAGCTATTGATAAGAGACTAGGGCAAAAAATAAAAGTAAATGTAGAATATGATAAAGTAGTAGATGACATCTCTAGTGCTTAATAGCACTTAAATCAACACTACAGTCTTAAAAAAAAAAATCCATTGAATTGGGGGAGGTGGCTCCCACCTGTAATCCTAGCTACTCTGGAGGCTGAGATCTGAGGATGGTGATTCCAAGCCAGCGCAGGCAGGAAAGTCCTTGAGACTCTTATCTCTAGTTAACCACCAGAAAACAGGAAGTGATGCTGTGACTCAAAGTGGTAGCGCACTAGCCTTGAGCGACATAGCTCAGGGACTGTGCCCAGGCCCTGAGTTCAAGATCCAGGACTGACAAAAAAAAAAGATTCCTGGATAGCACTCATGCTCAAACTGAGTGTAAGCCCCAGTACTAGTCCTCCACCCCCCCCCCCCACTCCCCCACCACCCTGATCTGTGGACTATGTTTTTCTGTTTGTGTTTTTTTGATGGTCATGGGGCTTGATTTCAGGGCCTAGCTGCTGTCCCTGAGCTCTTTTGCTCAAGGCTAGTGCTCTACCACTTTGAGGCACAACACCACTTCAGGTTTTCTGGTGGTTAATTGGAGATAAGAGTCTTATATCCTGCTGTGAGCTGGCACGGAATCAGGATCCTTAGATCTCAGCCTCCTGAGTAGCTAGGATGATAGGCGTGAGCTATCTGTGCCTAGCTTGGACTACATTTTAAGTAATCACATTTCAAGAGAAACAGTTTTCAATTTATAATGTCATTTGCAATTCTGAATCACAACCCCCCCCCCCCTTTGCTTGCCCTTCACCTAGTTCATAACCTCATTTAGTATATGGGTTTCAAAGAACAAGTTTCCCTTTTCTATTAGTGTGATAATCTAATGGCCTCAATTAGAGAGGGGAGTGAAAGAAAAAAAAAGGCCCACAAATCTAAAAATAACTCCATTATCCGTGGAGAGAGGGTCAGTTTTTGTTCCCACCATCCCAGCTGATATTAAGTAAGTGGCAATCGATCAGTCTAATGTCTGGCTCTCATTTTTCCTGAAATGAAGGGCTGTGGCTTTAAGTAATCGCAGGCTGCCTGTGCCAAAGGCAGAAGCTGCAGTATCAGCTTCTGTGGGGAGAGAGGAGTCTGAGGCATACGGTAACCTGCAGGACAGGCAGGACCGCCACGCAGGGCCAATGGCGCTCTTCCTGGTAGAGCTTTGAATGGAGACCGTGCCGAGGGGTGGGAGGCGCGGCCACCTGTGCACTCCTCGGACGGTGCAGGGGGTGGGGGAGTTGGAGACAGAAGCTGGAACATGGGCTGCCCCAGCAGCAAAATGTGCCTCTCTCCTCCATGTGCGGCTACAAGGGTAATGAGTGTTTGTTTGTAGTGCTTTGCTGGAAGACCAGGGACCAGGCGGAGGAGGAGGAGGATGGAGGGTGTCTGGAATTGGGCAAGTGTGTGGAATGACAAGCAACTCTGGTCTGGCTGCAAAGGGCACAGGTCATCTCTGCAACCCCATGGAGATGCCCTGCGGTGGTCTGGCCTAGGGCAGGAAGCTCGGAAGAACTAAGGAAATGTCTTTCTTAGTTATACCCTGGGTGTTCAGGAATCTGACCTCACAACTGTATTTGTGGATGTGGATGTGTGAGTTTGCTGGTTACTTAGAAATGTATTCTTTATCTCAGGGTTGATACATGTTTTGTTTTGTTTTTAATGTGGAAACAGCTGCCTGGTTTCATTGAGCTCATTTTTTTTTCTAACATCAATTTAGAATGATAGCTGCTCCAGGCTATAATCCTTTGAACTTAGTGTGTTCCCTGGGTACAATTAATTGAGTTGTCAAAGATTCTCGTTCTCTTCTCCTTTGGTCATAGTTCTGTAACAAAACTTTTCCTTTTAGGAAAAAAAAAGTCCTTTGTACAAAACTTTCTGGTTTGTGGATATAGGACAAAGTCCATACAAGTGCCTGTGTTTAGAACATTAAATATTTATCTTAACCTGATTAGGTCTTTATTGCCCTTGGAGGAGAGCACATTACATCTTAAGTACAGTATGCATTAGCTAGAAGGTTCTATGGATCCACAATGAAGCATTGACTCACAGCAAATATGTGTAAATGAGCCATTCAGCTCCTCAAAGGAAAGTTTCTCTGGGACCTGTGAAAATACAGATTTTTGAAACAGGAATTTCCTTCACAACTCTGGGACATCTGTGTTTTCTGACAACACAAAACTGTTAGCCTAAGTGGTATCTTGACTTCTCCATTCTGGATCTCATTTTTTTTTTTTAAACCCCTAGAGATAACAAGTGTGGGTACTTTACTGAAAGGGACCCCCTTCAAAACATGAATAACTCCAGGTGTTTTTTTCTTCTTTTCTTCCCACAGCGGGAGGAAGCACTGAAGCAACACAAAACCCTATCTCAAGAACTTGTTAACCTCCGAGGAGAGCTAGGTAAGAGAGAGAGAGAGAGAGAGAGAGAGTGTGTGTGTGTGTGTGTGTGTGTATGTGTGTGTAAACATGGGAGAATTGGAAAATGTGGTCTTCTCATCTGCATTGTGGCTGAAGTTGCTTGCTGGCAGTCCTGCTCTCTTTCTCCCTTATCTGTACAAACACTTAGTGTCCACATTTCTTTTGAATCTTGGCAGCTTGACCTTAAGTTCACAGAATTCCTGGCACAGATCTGACTTAAGCCCAGCGGAGCCTCTGATGACCAAAGCATGTCTCTTGCTGAAGAGAGGGGGTAGAAGGGCTGTTGTTACCAAGTGGATTCCTGTTAAATAATTCCATCATGGTTTTTTGCTTTTTGATTCTGAATCACTTTTCATATTTAAAAAGTGTTGAGGCTATTCCCCTCCCGGAATACAGTCATATACTTCGTGGAGATGGTTTGTGAGTAGTATGAGTATAAAGTTGAAGCTGGCCCATCTGAAAAAGAGGCGTATTCCATACTAATCTTACCAGCTGGACGAAACTGGGGCCCAATAGCCACCCAGATCCTGAGGTTACTCTATGTCTGAGGTTCCTGCTACTGTTCATAGGCAAGGCCACTATTTTAAGTTCTTATCTGTCCTAGAGATCCCCAGCAAGAGACAAAGACAATACTGCCGTTTTGGGCTTAGCTACTGTGATGGGGTGAATGGACAGTGCTGAGGGTCTCCTGTCTGGGAGAGCTATGCAGCCTAGCACAGTAACCACTGAACACACGATTAAGTAGAAGTTACAGAAACCGCTACAGAAACAAATTGTCTGCCTAGTTTGGAAAAGATTCTGCCTATTTTTTTTCCCCTAGGTAAGGATAGGCATTGCCAGTCTGATCTGTAGAACCATTCTGGGTTTTTTTGTTTTATTTTGTTTTGGTCCGGTCGTGGGGCCTGAACTCTGGGCCTGGGCGCTGTCCCTCAGCTTTTCAGCTCAAGGCTAGCACTCTACCACTTGAGCCACAGCACCACTTCCGGCTTTTTTCTTTTTTTCTTATGTGGTGCTGAGGAATCGAACCCAGGGCCTCATGCATGCAAGGCAAGCGCTCTAACACTGAGCCACCTTCCCAGCCCCTCTGTTTTTTTTTTTGTTTGTTTGTTTGTTTTTGGTTGGTTGGTTGTAAGGCATGAACTCTGGGCCTGGGCACTGTCCCTCAGCTCTTCAGCTCAAGGCAAGTGCTCTAGTACTTGAGCCACAGTGCTACTTCTGGTTTTCTGGTTGTTAGTTGGAGATAAGAGTCTGAGGGGGAATTTCCTGCTCTGTCTGGCTTTGAACCCCAATTCTCAGATCTCAGCCTCCTGTGTAGCTAGGATGACAGGTGTGAGCCACCAGCACCCGGTGCAGAACCATTCTTAACACCAAGAATGGGCCAAGCAGAGCCTGTGCATGTAGGGTCCACACTTTCTCTACCTTTGGCAAAGCCAAACTCTTTAGAAGACATCATTTTTGACTTTGTCTCACGCTATAGGAATGAAGGATCCTTCACAGGAAAGTACTATTAAGAAGAATGAAACTGCCAGGTGCCTGTAATCTTAGCTACTCAGGAGGCTGAGATCTGAGGGACATGGGTTGAAGCCAGCCTAGGCAGAAAAGTCCTTGTGAGACTCTTATCGCCAGTTAACCACTCCAAAACTGGAAGTGGAGCTGTGGCCCACGTGGTAGAGCACTAGCCTTGAGCACAAATAGGTTCTGGGATAGCAGCCAGGCCCTGAGTTCAAGCCCCCACAACTCACAACAACAACAAGAACAAAAAAAAGAAAAGACAAAGAGAAGGAAAGAAGGGAAGAAAGAAAGAAAAAAAAAGGAAGGAAGGAAGAAGGAAGGAAAGAAACTTAGCTCCCCAGGCTTGGGAAGCAGTTCAGGGGAAGCCCAGCTGTGAGGCAGCCCAGCCCTTGGACTCAGAAGGCTTCCTGCCACATGGCCTGACTGCTGCCCTTTTGCCTGCCCAGAAAGGCAGCTTAATCTGCTGTGTCTCTGCCTTAAATGCAATTGTGGATAGAAAGTTAGGAACAGGAAAGAGGCCTTTTTGTATGCTCTGGAGTTGATCAGGAACCGGTGGAGGTGGCACTGCGTCTGCCTTGTGTTTCAGGTTTCGGCTCTCTCCACACTGAGAACTGAGAAACAAACACTGGGCTCATTGACTCTGCCTGAGTGGCTGATCCTCCTTTTACTTTCTAGGGTATGGCCCAATTACACGATATAAATGGGGACCCAGCCACTCAATACCTCCAGCCAGGAAGTAGCCCTCAGTATGTACCCACTCTCCCTTTTGTGACAAGGAGAGCGTGTCCTGCTGCTGCCTGAGTGTCAGGTGCCGTGGGTGGCCTGTCCCATATTCTGTCACCGGAGGTTGGATCAGGGCAGGTGACACTGCTGCTGTTCAATCAGGCAGTTTTGCTTGAACAACAGCTTAAGGCATTTGCAAATGGTTCAGTTCTGTTAGGGGCGAGGACATTTTAAACACTTGTAGTGACTGCACTCCCGAGTTGGCGGTTGGATTGTTAGTTTCAGCTGGGCCTGAGAGGGAAAGGATGGACTTGCATAACACAGTCCTCAAAGTTTAGGCAGTGAGATGTTTTGGGACTATACCATTACAGCGTCCAGGTTTAAATGCCTGGTAGCTGATTGGCCTGGAGCAAGTCACACATACTCTCTCCTGTCTCCGTTTCATTCTCTGTAAAATGGCAGCAGTAATTGTCCCAGGGTGGTTTTGAGGTTCTCCTGAGGTAATACAAACATATTACAGGGTAAAGTGTCTAGCACTAAGTGTTAACTGTTATTAAATAATAGCTATTACGAAGTGTATGTAATTTTAAAGCTGTATAGTAATTAAACTCGCTGGCTATTTTGTGTGGGCACAAGCCATATTGTGGAAAGCAATGGTAATCAGGTGAAATGTTAGTAGAAATCCCTCAGGACAGGCTCTTGCAGATGCAAATGGAGGTGAGACTCAATCTTTTCCCCAGATGTCTGAGTTCAGTATAGAGTTAGTCGTGTAAGTTTTTGTCCCTCCACGCCTAGCCCCTTGAGTACAGTTTCCTCATCAGTGACATGAAGTCTGTACATGTTTGTGTTGCTGGAGTTGGTAATATTTGAACCAACCACATAGTAACTGGTCCAGGTATCTTAAGAGGCCCATTGTCACCACCGCCTTGTCATCAATGTTTCTACCTTTTTCTCCAATAGTCATAAAGGGGTAATGAACGTCACTCTTCCACTGGTTAATTTTTTTTTTCCCTATACCTTTTCTGAACATTGGGACACAGTTCCTAAACCACAGTTGAGCAAAGAACAGAAGCCTACTCAGAAGCCTATTCATAAATTCAGGAGCACAGACACCCTAGTAGAGTCTGTGATTGTAGCTTTTAGAATTTAAAGGTCACCATTTATCCCTACCACCGACCAGCTTTCCCATTGTCATGAGTTACCCTGGCAAGATTCCTCTGCTACCAAAGTGAAGCCATCTTACTGAAATGCAGCCAGCCTATTGCTGCCATCTGAGCCACACTCCTCCACACAATGGCTAACCTCTGCTTCTGAAAAAAACTCTTCCAAAAAACCCTGTTTCCCTAGAACAAAACCAAGAGGCTCTCCATAGCCAGTCATTCGCAGATATTTTATACTGAGGTAGTTACTGGGTTTGTGTTTTTTCTGTTATTTTCAGGCAGTGAAGTTCTTAATTGCTAAGAGTTGTTGTAGGGTTTTTTTTTTTTTTGAAAAACCATAATCTTTTCATCTGCATGAATACATATTCATTGATATTTATTGGTGTTTGAGGTTTTAAAGTTCCTTTATATTTAAGAAAAAAAAGTGTGAAAAGAAAAATTTTTAAGCAAGGCTAGCTCATAAACCCACCATTCTAAAAGACATTTTATTTGCAGAGTCCCTTGTCTTTGTGTGAATAAATACAGCTTTGGACTCTGGAACCCAGGCTGGCCTTGAACTTGAAGTTCTACCACCGCTGCCTGTTCCACACATTTTGACAATGAGATGGATTCACGTTGCTGTGTCCTCTGATGTTTTAAACTGAAGGCCAGCACTTTGGGTGGTTGCTGCACTGCAGTCCTGTTTCCTGACGATAGAGATGTCTACAGAGTAGGCCTACCACACAGGTCATGGTGATATCAGTGGTTTGCTCATCCACTCCTGGCTTTGCCTCTTACCTCTGTTTGCCTAGTACTCTCCTTCCTGGGCTGCAGGTGCATGCTTCCTGGAGAAGGGCTCATCCAGATGAACCATCCACAGCCCCTTGCTTCCAGAACCCATTCCAGTGTCTCCTCACAGAAGCCTGTTGGGCACAGTGTACTTCCCAGCTTGTGTAGTGGTATTACTAAGTCTCTTATTAACTAAGCCAGCATTCTTCCTCTACCTGGATATAGTCTTGTATCTTATTAAAACTTATTGAGATCCATGCATCCTCAGCATTCTGGCTGCCATTATTTTAATTTACACCCAGTATATTTGTGGGGTTTTTTGTGTTTGAACATAGGGCCTTGAGTTCTCCAGGCAACTATTTAACATCAGAGTCACACAGATGGGGTCTCAAGGTTATGCCCACAGCCAGCTTTGGGCTATGATTCTTCAACCTTTCCAAGTAACTACCATCTTAGCCCACATCTCTTCATATGTGCCCAGGACTATATATAAAATCAGATATGCATCCTTTAATGGGGATTTGTCTTGACATAAGGGTCTTGCTATATAGCCCTAGCTGGCCTTGAATTCACGATCCTTGTTCCTCAACTTCCAGAGTGCTGAGATTACAGGAATGTGCAGTCATACCCAACTTTCGTTTTTTTTGTTTTGTTTTGTTTTTTGCCGGTCATGGAGCCTGAACTCTGGGTCTGTCCCTCAGCTCTTCAGCTCAAGGCTAGTGCTCTACTACTGGAGCCACAGCGCCACTTCCAGCTTTTTCTGTTTATGTGGTGCTGAGGAATCGAACCCAGGGCCTCATGCTTGCAAGGCATGCACTCTACTGCTGAGCTACCTTCCCAGCCCCATACCCAACATTCTACTGGACGGTGTTTTCGTTTTGGTCCTGGGGCTTGAACTCAGGATTCTTGCTCAGCTTTTTTACTCTTAGCTAGTGCTCTGCCACTTGAGCCACATATCCATTTCTGGCTTTTTTTTTTTTTTGCCAGTTAATTGGAAATAAGAGTTTCACAAATTTGTCTGCATGGGCTGGATCATATTCTCAGGTCTCAGTCTGCTGAGTAGCTAGGATTGCAGGCATGAGCCACCTGCACCCAGTTCTACTGGACAGTTTGAACAAATCTAAATGGTTTTGGAGAAAAGGTTCCGATATATTAAAGCACACAACAGCCTGAACACCCAAGATCATTCATCCTTGCTTGATGTCTGGCTGACCTTCCTTTCATTCTCACATCTTTGTCCTCCTAGTCACAGGCTAATTCATATCTCTGTCCACTCCTTAGCATAACTTCTTTTTCTACTTTGTACTACCCTTCTTTTCTTGGCTCTCAAGCTCCCCATTTTCTCATGTTTAAGTCCTAGCTAAAATAACCTTGTTTTCAGTTGAGTTTCTTGCCCCTCCCCCATCTTTCAAGCTAGTTAGTTTTGACTTTGCTATGCCCTTCAGCGTACTTACTCTGTGCCCCTGCAGACTTGGTTCTTACAGTTGTTTGTTTAAATTCTTCTTGTCACTACCTAGAGCTATGATGCTTCAAAGGTGCCAGGCTGGTAGTTCTACCACCTTGTGTCACATACTCAGTGCTTAGACTGCAGTGAAGGATTTTGCAGCTAAAGATGGAGGTTAAGGATGTCATTTTTTCCTTGTCATAGCTAAACTTGAAGGGGCTGTATGCGAATGTTTTCCTACACACTGTTTTAATTAGGACATTTCTGTCCAGTTTGAATAACAAAGGTGAGCTACAATTCTCTTGGAAACATGTCTGATGATCCCAGCTGATCGGTAGATCATTTTGGAGATGTCAGTCTTTGATAGAGTTTATAATCAGATTTAATGGTCTTCTTCTGCTGCAAACTTCTGCCTCTGAGATGGGGGGGGGGGGGGGGGGAGACAGGTATATCCTTCTGATTCCTTCTATAGTCATGTTGAATAAAAGCTGCCGCTAAGGTCCTCCATCATCTTTTGGAGTTCTTTTTGCTTTTTCTCTTACTGTTCTTTGAATCATATGTTTGCCATCTGTAGTAATAAAGAGAGGTATTCATATTTTAAAATTAATTTTTAGCCACAAGAACTTGCAGCTAAGTCTCAATATGTTTTATACATTAGTCCTGATGGTTTCTATTTTGTAAACCCAATGTTTTTTATTGTTGGTTCTTTTTGGGGGGATCTGGAGGGAGTGCTGGTACAGGGCTTGAACACAGGGCTTGGGTGTTGTCCTTTAGCATTTTCATTCAAGGCTAACACTCTACCATCTGAACCACAGTTCCACCTCAGGATTCTTTCTTTCTTTCTTTCTTTCTTCCTTTCTTCCTTTCTTCCTTTCTTCCTTTCTTTCTTTCTTTCTTTCTTTCTTTCTTTCTTTCTTTCTTTCTTTCTTTCTTTCTTTCTTTCTTTCTTTCTTTCTTTCTTTCTTTTTTGGATGGTTTATTAGAGATAAAGAGTCTCACAGACCTTTTTCTGCCTGGGCTGGCTTTGAACCGTGATCCTCAGATGTGAACCACCAATGTCTGCCCCAATGGAATTATAAGCCTTAATTCACAGGCTATTCCTGGGATTCCTATACTAACAATATAAAGGCTTGTGGATCTTGCCTCTTATTCTGAAAACTATGACACAAGAGAGGCATGTTTGAGTGGCAAACTTAGAAGTCAAGTAACTTCTACAATGCCAGACATCTTGGAAGCAGAGTTTGGAGAGGAGCCCAAATCACTAGACCTACCATAGCAGGAAAAGCTTCATGTAACTTTTGTTACATGAAATAACATGAGTTTGCATCAATGGCTACTTTTGGAATCTTTCAGAAATAAAGTATCGTTAAATTACAAAGTCTTCTTACATTCAAAAGTTAAAAGCAGTGTACAAATCATGTAATCAACACTGCTCTGGTGTCCATGAACTCAGATTAGCTTACACGTTCTGGAATGTGTTCATTCTTTCACCCTTCCAGATCTGGCTCTAACTTTGGTTTAACAAAGCTGTGTATTTAAAGTAACTTAAAGCAGGGCTCTGATAACTCAACTGTAATCCTAGCTGCTCTGGAGGCTGAGATCTGAGGATTGCCATTTGAAGCCAGGCTGACCAGGAAAGCCTGTGAGACTCTTACCTCCAACTGACAACCAAATATCCAGAAGGGGAAGCTATGGCTCAAGTGGTAGAACACTAGCCTTAAACATAAAAGCTCAGGGACGGCAATAGGCCTAAGTTCAAGTCCAATGACTTGGATAAGAAAAATAAAGTAACTTTATAGCTAAGTCACTTCTGAGTTACAAAATTCCAGGAGTGATTTTCTTTGAAGGAGGATTTCATGAAAATCTTTTAGGATGATAGAAACCAACTGTATACTCAAAAGCTCTTTTTCTCGCTGAGCTGTTAAAAGATGGAGTTGATCTCCACTTCAAATGAGGCCATTCTTTTCCTGTCCATCTGCCTTAAATTTGGACTTTGGCTGTATTTCTAAGTAGAAGGCTGTATTCATTCACTTGCAGAAGTACAAAATGCCATGCTGTTTGGTTTTGGAAACCCATGGAACATTCTCTCTTCTCCTGATGCTTGTTCTAACTCTAAGCTCTCAACATTTACCTTTTCTCATTTAATGCTAGTTTTCAAGAACAGTAGTTCTCAAACTTCCCTGTGTGATAAAACATCTAGTTAGAGGGTTCAACATCTCAGTGCACATGCCCACCAATTCACATTCAGTTTAGCCAGAAATGTCCTTTGGATATTACCCAGGTGAAGCAAGTGTCCCCCCCCCCCCCCCCCCCCCCCGCTCCTTTTTTTTTTCTTCCCAGTCCTGGGGCTTAAACTCAGGGCCTGGGTGCTGTCCTTGAGCTTTTGTTCAAAGCTAGTGCTCTACCATTTGAACCACAGCCCCACTTCCAGCTCTTTGGTGGTTGATTGAAGATAAGAGTCTCACAAAGGACAAAGCGTGAACCAGTGCAACAGAGATACTCACAAGGCACTGTGTTAAAAATGAACTTTACAACTTGGTGGGGAGGGAGGGAAAGTGGGAGAAAAACAAGGGAAGCAAAACAATGTTAGACAAGAAATGTACCCGTACCTTATGTAACCCCTGTGCATATCACCTCGACAATAAAATACAAAAGAGTTTCCCTGCCCAGGCTGCCTTTAAATCAAAATCCTCAAATCGCCACCTCCTGAGTAGCTATGATTGCAGGTGTGAGCCACCAGTATTCAGCCTGGTGCTTTTTTTTTTTTTTTAAGTTAAGGAGTTTATTAGGGAAATATGAGAGGTACAGACACCCCAAGTGACAGAAAAGTCTGAAAGTGCCCCTTTCAAGCCACATGAGGGCCTGGCAGTGACCTTAAGAAACTGGTGGATTGGCAACATTCCCTGGGCAGTCACACTGCCAGGCCTGGGGGGGTCCTAGCCGGGACTGCCCCCCACCTCCCACCGCCCACCTCGGTTGGGGAGCAGACAAGGACTGTTGATGGGGTCAGTGCAGAGGGAATGAGAACAGAAAGGAAAATCTGGGCGTGAGAAGTGGGAGGAGCTGCGTAGAGTCCCAGGCTTCAGGCTCCACCCCTCCACTACATTTAACCACAGCTCCATGAAACGTTACTCAAGAAGTACAAACCCCTAATGCTGTTTCCCAGTCCCCCACGCCACATCACACTCCCCCGTGTACACCGCCTATGCCCCGAACAGCAACTTGTCAGCAGCACGGCACAGTTCTAGGTGAGTGTCTCACCTTTTGTCACCTGGGCTTCAATGTATTCTATTCTCCGCTCAAGGGCTGTCAGTTTCTCATTTAGTATTGCGAGTCTTGAACAGCTAGACATATCAAACGAGTTGAGAAAGTCCACGATTTTCTGGATGCTGCAGGTTATGAGTTCAGTATATTCCCGGTTCTCCCAGTCCTGGTGGATCTCTCGCTGCACTGGATCCTCGAGCAGGATAACTGCACGTGCACCCTCCAGCCTGGTGCCTTTATCAATAGCTCCAAGTGAATGATGAGTCCAACCCGGGACCTCGTCTTCCAGGGCTTACGCTCACCAACAACTTTAACTGGTTGGTTTGCCCCTTATGCCCTGGGAATGACTCCCCAGGGAGAAGTGGCAGATAGTTAGCACCTGACTCGAAATCATCTTTTAATTGGCACTGAATGTATTCATTCGGTTGAACCAAACTCCTTTTTCACACGATCTCACTCAGCTATGTTTTTGTCTTGGATCCACTTTGTTCCCGGATATTTTTATGTGTACGTGGATTGTTGGTTGGGGGGGTAAAAAAAAAAGAGCATCTGTTTTTCAGCCTTTTGTTGACAGATGCACAAGCTGAAAGTCATTTCAGAGCTCAGCTCAGCTCAGGCAGCGCGGTCTGGCTGGTGCTGTGTTGGAAGATGAAAGATAGGCTGACTGGCCTGGGTATCACTCATCTGCCAGCAACTTTGTCAGGACTAATGGTTGTAGAGGAAAGATTGGGGGGGGGGGGCTCGTTTTTATTGTGTGTTATCAATATCTTCACTCTAAGCAGCGCCTCTCCAAGAGAACTGAGGCCTAGCATTGCTGGGTTCCGTTGTACCTCTGAATGAGCGTCTCCCTCCTGTGGCTCAAGTTGAGAAGGTGGTCAGTGGGTGCGCTGTGCCGTGAATCTGTGGGGAGCTCAAGGAAGGTCCCTACCCAGATTTACTACCTTGCTTCCCTTTGTGGTAAAATGAGATTTATGATGATGCCTTATTTTCAACTTGCTGCATTTATTAGATGACATGATGAATTAAATGTGCGAGGCCCTTTGCAAGTCTTGAGCGGAGTTGTAAAGGCGGAGTGCTGTTATTTATGGAGGTTGGTTTGCTGAGCGCAGGTGTTTTATGAAAGTCAGTTGCTCACAAGTTAGGATTGTGGGAGGCTTTGTAAGTAGTTCATAGAGATTCGTGGGTATCATGACCAAAGCAATCAGCAAGCCATATGCTGCTAATTTTGAAATTTAGAAAAGATTCTCATCCTACCACCTACCTGCCTGATCGCTGAGGATGTGAAAAAGCACCTTCACAGAAACCAAACCTGAAGTAAGAGCAGGTGACCATTCCACCTGCTGTGAAGACTTAACTTTGCAAAGCGTAGTGAGCATCATTCTACAGTTGACTTTACCCCCATCAGACTGAATTATGGCTGCCAGAACAGGTTGTATTTAGTTCTGCCTTGCTAATCAGCACACACAAGCTCAGAAAGTTTGAAATGCCTGTGCCTCAAGTACAGGCTGTGTCCTATCTTTGTGCTGGTATCACCTATCTTCTTTTCGTGGTATTAAGAGACTGAATTTGGTCTCCAACTCATTACTAGGCAAACACACTACCAGTTGAGCCCCACTCACACTCCTAGTCCTTTTGTTTCTAGGAAGTTCTACTTTGCAGACGGTGTCTTATACTTTTGCCTGGGCCACCCTGGGACCATGATCTTCCTACCTCTCCCTGCCAAGGAGCGGGGATTGCAAATGCACTACCATGCCTGTGTTTGTTGTATGAATATGTCCCCCCCCCCCCCACACTTTTCTTTTTCTGGCTTGCATTCTGGAATATGGTTTTACCAACTTTTTCCCTGCGTGGCCTCTGAGATCTCAATCCTCCTGTTTCTTCTGCCTTCCAACTAGCTGAGCTAACAGACATACTCTACCATATCTGGCCCTCAGCCTACTTAAAAAAAAAATGGCTGCTTGGTCACTTTGTTCATTGACAGTACTTCATTCTAAAAATAAGTCCAGCCCACACTTGCCTTGGAAATGTGTTGTAATAGGACTCGTCTTTATAGAAGGATATTAGGAAACGATCGTGGTCATGTCTGCATTCATGGTTCTGGGGGTGGGAGACAGGTAATATTAAATTATATTTTCCCTGAGGTTTATAGTGACTGTGTGTTACTGAAGAAACTAATGAGGGAGCTCAGAACTGAGAGCAAGTGGCAGGTTCTCAGGTGTCTAGAGAGACACAAAGCAGACAAGCAGAGTTGGAGAGGCAGCTGATTTCCTTCACAAATCATCAGTGAAAGGAGCTGGGTGCTGATGTAATCCTGGTCACTCAGGATGCTGAGATCTAGAGAAAAAAGGTTCAAAGCTAACTTGGGCGGAAAAGTCTGTGAAACTCCATCTCCACAATAACCAGCAAAATGTCAGGCTGGAAGTTTGACTCAACTGATAGAGCACCAACTGGGCAAGCAGGCCCAGTAAGGGGAAAGCTCTAAGTTCAAACTCTGACACTGGGAAAATATTTAACCAAAGAAGGGGAATAAAGAGGTCTTCACATACAGAGCTTGCCTGAAGCAGATCAGGTAAGTGGATATTCACAAACAATGGCTGTCATGTTTCCTTATGCATCCTTTCTTCCTGTCAAGATCCCCTTCATGTTACCAGAAATAGTCATAGCCTTCCATGTGACATCACCTTTCTGGAGATTTTACTTTTTTTATGTCAGTATCCAGGTTTGAATTCAGGGCCTTGAGCTCTCATTTTAAAAGCTTTCTTACTCATGGCTGCCACTCTAACACTTGAACTGTCTGCAGCCCAGCATTGCGCCGGTTAATTGGAAATGGAGTCTTGTGAACTTTTCTGCCTGGACTGGCTTAGAACCTCAATCCTCAATTCTCAGCCTCTGGAGGAGCCAGGATTACAGATGTGAGCCTTAGACATCTGGCTTACTTTTATTAAGTTCTTTCTGCTATTTTTTTAAGACTAATTTAGAAGGGAAGAAACATCTCTGGAAAAACAAGAAAAATGTTGTTATATGTAATGTCAAGAACAATAGTAGGTAAAGATTTGAGGTGGGAATGGGGGTGTGGCTCAAGTGGTAGAATGCCTCAAGAGGCGAGGTTGATCAAGGTGCTGAGTTGAAGCACCAGTGTTGGTGAGTGTGTGTGCACACATACACACACATGTGCACACACACACACACACAGGTCAAAGATTTGAGGTATAAATGCACCACAAAAACACAACATCATCTATGTAAAGGAATGTGTATATAAATATGCATGTGTTTTTATATATGTACATGTGTATATCTGTATGCAGTGCTTGAGATTGAGCCTTCTATTATACTCTGTTGTGGAATTCCAGGCATATCTTTGAGGAATCTTCGAGTGTGTTTGAATAGACTCTATTGGCTACAACATAGGGCACTTACTCCGCCCAGGCACAGGGCCAGGTGCTTTGCATGTTTAATCCCTTAGGGAAGGCCATGTAGTCACTGCATCTTTTTTTTTTTTTTTTTTGGTTGGTCATGTAGCTTGAACTCTGGGCCTGGGTGCTGTCCCTGCACTCTTCAGCTCAAGGCAAGCACTCTACTGCTTGAGCCGCAGTACCACTTCCAGTTTTCTAGTGGTTTATTGGAGATAAGAGTCTCATAGACTTTCCTGCCTGGGCTGGCTTTGAACCCTGATCCTCAGATCTCAGACTCCTGAGTAGCTAAGACTGCAGGTATGAGCCACGGGTGCCTGGCTTCACTGCATTTTTAAGAATGAGAAATGTAGGCTTAAAAAAGCTCAAGATCAGGGGCTGGGAAAGTGGCTCAATGGTAGAGTGCTTGCTTTGCATGCATGAGGCCCTGGGTTCGATTCCTCAGCACCACATAGTAGAAAAAGCCAGAAGTGGGGCTGAGGCTCAAGTGGTAGAGTGCTAGCCTTCAGCTGAAGAGCTGAGGGACAGCTCCCAGGCCCAGAGTTCAGGCCAAGATCATGCTGAAATCATGTAGCACATCAGTGGTGTGGCTGAGATTTGAACAGGAGTATTCTGGCTCTGTTCTCTTTAGATGTTTGTCAATCTCTCGTGCATTAAACTATTTCATATGAAGTATGCTACTCAGGTATAAAAATGAAGAAAGCTTTGTCATTTTTCAAAAGAAAACGAACATCCTGAGCCATTTTAGCTCAAACTTCCTTTTAGCCAGAATATCAGCGAAAGATGGAATTAGTAAGTCTACCCATCCCCTCTTACAAAACCCAAGAGGATTAGTTAAGCTGTTGTCCTTCTTCTGCTCTGCCAGAGAAACTGCTAACGGGCTGGGTGAGTTTGATTCTCCTTTTCCAGGGTGACATTTGGCTGTGGCATGGGACCTGTTCTACGTGTCATTCTGGCTTGTTCATTACAAATTCAGGATGACTTTGATTGTAGCTTTGCCTGGTACTACTTGCTGAGAACAAGTAGTACTCTGGAGAATAGGCAGGAAGAGGTGGGCTGGGGACACGAGTGGTAGAGGCACAGGTGACATGGAATCCCTCCTATACTATGAAATGCATAAAGTCTGTCTGAAAACAGGGGGTGAGGGGCTGGGAAGGTGGCTCAGTGGTAGAGCGCTTGCCTTGCATGCCTGAGGCCCTGGGTTCGATTCCTCAGCACCACATAAGCAAAAAGAAAAAAGCCGGAAGTGGCGCTGTGGCTCAAGTGATAGAGCGCTAGCCTTGAGCTGAAGAGCTGAGGGACAGCGCCCAGGCCCAGAAGAGTTCAAGCCCTACGACTGGACCCAAAAAAAAAAAACAAAAAAACAAAAAAAAAAAAACAGGGGGTGACCTCCTTGTTTCAACCCCTCCCCCAGCCAGCTGTGTCCCAGCAGACAGGGAACATTCTGAGGAGCCTTGCACGCATCAGCTACCTGTGCATTTTTTTTTTTTTTCAAAAATAGTTCAGGAGTAGTCAAGTGCTGATAACTCACACTTGTAATCCTAGTCTGAGATCTGAAGATTAAGGTTTGAAGCCAGCATGGGTAAAAAGGTCATTATCTCCAATTATCCAGCAAAAAGATGCAAGTGAAAGTATGGCTCATGTGGTAGAGCACAAACGTGATTTGAACAGAAAAAGCCAAGTGACAGCATGAGCTCCTGAATTCAAACCCCACGACAGGGACACAGACACACACACACACACACACTCTCTCTCTCTCTCTCTCTCTCTCTCTTCAGGAGTAGTTTCTATGGAAAAGAAATGTTTCCTTAGTTGCTGAGGCCAGCTGGTTCACACTGGAGCTCCTTGTGAATGATAACTGCAGGCCAGCTGTTGTGCACACGGCACCCCACAAACTGTAAACAGAGCAAAGGTCTGGGCACAGCTGCAGGCTGAGGTCCCTGTCTAGGGCTGGGCCTGCCTCTTTGGGCTGTGCAATTACAGCAGTCAACCACCTGCCCCTCCTGGCTGCTTTCTCCCTTTCTCCTTTCCCACTCTCCCCAGCTGACCTCCCATTTCCCTCTTTCCCAGAGCCCAACAAAAGTGTACACTATTTGTGCTACTGCTCATTTCTTTAAACAGAGGAAACAGCCCTATCCGGTGGTTAACATGAGATTTCTGTGTATCCTTTTTTATTTTAAAGTCGGATGTACTGTAGTTATGTATCCAAATGGACAGAAGTTTGATTATAAGCAGAGATGTTTAAATCTGGCAGGTGTAAGCTACTACCAGCATCCACTTGGAAACTCTTCTAGCCCAAGGTCTTGTTTCTGAGTAATTGAGTTCAGTTCAATGCCTCGGGTTCTGACAGAAGCTTTTAGATGGGTGTGTGATTTAAAAGAGAACAAAAATTGCTGGTATCTGAAATTCCAAAAGAATTAAGTGAAATCAGGAATTTCTCTGGCTAGAAAGCTGTTTGATGCCTCCACTGCTTGGCTGCAAAGTATATTTTTCTGTCACCTATTTCAATATAAAGGTCTAATATGAGGAAAAACTTTTAGAGAAAAGTTCCTCTTATCCTGGCCCCATGATCTTGTCAGTATCTCAGACTTTCAAATTACTATGACCAACTACCTGACATATACCACCCAAGGGAGGGAAGACATATTTAGGCTCCTGACTTGGGAGATTTCAGTCCATAGTCCTTCACTCTGTTGATTCTGGGCCTGTGGTCAGGCAGCAGAACATGTACCTCATTGTGGATAGGAAGCGAAGAGGGGAGGAACTGGAACCAGTTCTGACCCTCAGAGGATGCCTCCTGGGGCCTACTTTCTCCAGGTAAGCCTTCCCACCTCCTAGCATTTCTCAAACCTCCCAAAACAGCACCACTAGCTGAGAACCAAGAGTTAAATACAGGAAACTGTGGGAGGCATTTCACATTCAAACTGAAACAGACCAGGTTGTTGCTAGAAGCTAACATTGTATCATTCATTTTACTATTAGGCTTTTTTTTTTTTTTGGCAAGCACAGGAGGTTGAATTTAGGGCCTTGATTTGTGATGGTTTTCAACAATGGGAAATCAGGCTTCCTGGAAAACTTGAGTTATAGGATATACCGCAGTGTGTGCATGTGTATCTGTGTATAGTTGATCAGTATATCCGCATTATGAGTGATTTAGCTTTTGGTAGGATGTTCAGATTGTAAATTTTGTTTTATCAACTTACTTTGCCTTCTTAAGATATTTACCTTTTCAACATAGTAGTATATCAAAGCATTTTTTTTTTTTTGGTCCGGTTGTGGGGCCTGAACTCTGGGCCTGAGCACTGTCCTCAGCTCTTCAGCTCAAGGCTAGTGCCCTACCACTTGAGCCACAGCACCACTTCCGGCTTTTTTCTTTTTGCTTATGTGGTGCTGAGGAATCGAACCCAGGGCCTCATGCATGCAAGGCAAGTGCTCTACCACTGAGCCAACTTCCCAGCCCCTATCAAAGCATTTTAAATATGAGTTTTTTTGGTTTTTTTTTTTTTTTGGGTCCGGTCGTGGGGCCTGAACTCTGGGCCTGGGCGCTGTCCCTCAGCTCTTCAGCTCAAGTCTAGCGCTCTACCACTTGAGCCACAGCGCCACTTCCGGCTTTTTTTTTTCTTTTTGCTTATGTGGTGCTGAGGAATCGAACCCAGGGCCTCAGGCATGCAAGGCAAGCGCTCTACCATTGAGCCACCTTCCCAGCCCAATATGAGTTTTTGAATGCCACAGTGATTGGTGTTTAATTTGCTTTTGTTTGCTTGTTTGTTTAGTTGGTGGTGGGGCCTGAACTCTGGGCCTGGGTGCTGTCCCTCTGCTCTTCAGCTCAAGGCTAGCACTCTACCACTTAAGCCACAGCACCACTTCCGACTTTTTCTGCGTATGTGGTGCTGAGGAATCAAACCCAGGGAGGGCCTCATACAAGCAAGGCAAGCACTCTACCACTGAACCACCTTCCCAGCCCCAATGTTTTGCTTTTATTACTATGTTTTATGTATGTGTGTGTGTGTTTCTATTTTATTTTCCCAAGCCAATCCCTCCAACTTGTGGTCCTTCTGCTTCAGGGTCCCATGTGTAGATCCCTGTGCTCATATGACTGTGTTTTTAAAATAAAAGTTGAAATCTTCTCAAATAAAGCACAAGCGTGGATACCATGTTCAACCTAGTTGTTTCTGTTCCTTCGCTATCTTCCCGTGTACCCCTGGCAGGCTGTGAGTGGAGTAACATCACTGGAAATATCCTGAATAATCCTTGACTTTTCTTTTTGTGATCATTGCTGGAAACCCCAGCTCTTTCTCAAGTACTTCTTCTCTTCTTGCTAGGTAGTTGGTTTTTAGTGTTTAATGGTTATTTGGGATTCTTTTTTGGTTTTGGTACCAAAAAATGAATCCTTTTTACAATATACTTCTAAATTATGCATGAAAATTTGGGTGTCAGCTCATTTTGCTGCTTGAAGAAGAGGCTACCTGAGATAATCAAGTTATGAGAAAACGAGGCTTATTTTCTGCTCACTGTTTTGGTGGGTTCAGCCCATGGTTGATTGGTTCCATTGCTTTGGGCCTGGAGTGAGGAAATGAGCCGGAGGAGGACAGTGCAGGGTCCCAGTGGCCCCTGCTTAAAGGTTCATCCCAGCGTCATGGGCTGGTAAGACATTTCATGTCCACTGTCCACTGATCACTAACCACTGACCATTGACCACTGACCACTGTGCTTCCCCGGCCATCACAGGTGTATGAGTGTGGGTGTTGTAAGTTTCTGGACAGGCCAATTAAATGGTATCTTCTCTTTATGTTTAGTCGCTGCTTCGAACACTTGTGAGAAGTTAGAAATAGCCAGAAATGAGTTACAAACTGCGTATGAAGGATTTGTCCAGAAGCTAAACCAGCAGCACCAGACTGATAGAACAGAACTGGAGAACAGACTGAAGGAATTTTACACGGGGGAGTGTGAGAAGCTTCAGAACATCTACATCGAGGAAGCGGAGAAGTATAAAACCCAACTGCAAGAGCAGGTCTGTGCTTGGGAACTGTCGGAGGTGGTTATGGGCTTGAATCATGATTGATTGCCTTCACACGCTTTTTCTTTGATTTCTCATTTTGATGATATAGGGGTTTGAACTCAGGGTCTCACGCTTGCTAAGCAGGTGTATTACCACTTGAGCCATGCTTCCAGCCCTTTTTTCTTGGCGACTTTTTTTTTTCTTTCTTTTTTTTTTTTGGGGTCCAGTCGTGGGGCCTGAACTCTGGGCCTGGGCGCTGTCCCTCAGCTATTCAGCTCAAGGCAAGCGCTCTACCACTGAGCCACCTTCCCAGCCCATCTTGGCGACTTTTGAGATAAGGCCCTTGCGTGTTTGTCTGAGCTGTCCTGGACCTCAGTCCCCCTATTTTATACTTTCTGCATAGCTGGGATGTCAGATATGCCACCACCACACCCTGGCTTGTTTTTACTGGTTGAGATTGGGTGTCCTGAGAACATTTTGCTCTGACTGGCTGCCTCAAATGCAGTCCTCCCCAACTCAGCCTCCTGAGTGGCTAGGATTACAAGCATGAACCATTGTGACTGGTGTACTATTCATTCTATGTGGCTGTGCATATTGGTACTGGGGCTTGAACTCAGGGCATGATACTCCAACTAAGCTTGTTTTACTTGGGCCATACTTCTGGGGCTTTTCAGTAGCTAACTGGAGATAAGAGTCTGGCCCACTTTTCTGCCTGGCGTGGTTTCAACCAGTGATCCTCAGCTCTCCGCCTCCTGAGTAGCTCAGATTACAGGTGTGAGCTACCAGGACCTGCTTGTTCACATACTTTAATGAGTTTCTCCTTGTCTTCCAGCTTACTAGATGAATACATCTTTAACTGGATTTTTAAAATTATGATCAAAGCACTGTACTTACGTTGTGCTTAAAGAAGAAGGAAAAGATAAAAAGTTTAAAACAGCCCTTTGGCAGGCTATTGGTGTTATGCTGCTAAAAATAAAGGTTTTCTTTTCTTCAAAGTTTTTTTTTTTCCTTAAAAGACACTTCTAATTCATTTTTTCCCAATATACTCATATATCATAAACCTTGCTTACATTTTATTTCACCGTTTTTAGTTTTTTGGGTTTTTTTTGGGTCCGGTCATGGGGCCTGAACTCTGGGCCTGGGCGCTGTCCCTCAGCTCTTCAGCTCAAGGCTAGCACTCTACCACTTGAACCACAGCGCCACTTCCGGCTTTTTTTTTTCTGCTTATGTGGTGCTGAGGAATCGAACCCAGGGCCTCGTGCATGAAGCGCTCTACCACTGAGCCACCTTCCCAGTGCACCCCCCTTTTTTTTTTTTTGGTTGGTCGTGAGGCTTGAACTCTGGGCTTGGGCGCTGTTCCTGCGCTCTTCAGCTCAAGGCCAGCACTCTACCGCTTGAGCCACAGCGCCACTTCCTGTTTTCTACTGGTTTATTGGAGATAAGAGTCTCACGGACTTTCCTGCCTGGGCTGGCTTTGAACTGCGATCCTTAGATCTCAGCCTCCTGAGTGATTACAGGCGTGAGCCACCAGCGCCGCCTTTAGCTTGGTTTTTAAATTGGCAAATATATGCATAGCATCTACTGTTTACCCCTCCTGTTAGGAGCAGAGAGGTATTGTGGTCAGTGTGGAAGGCCTGGGGCTGAGGTGGCCCTGGGGCTGTGGACAGATGCTCTCCTCACAGGGCCTCTGCCCTTGCCCTCAGGGAACCCTGCAGACTCTGCAGGCTGGTGCTCCTCCTGGGGAAGGTGGAGCAGAATGTGGCTAGGCCAAATTGGGCTGGGCTTCTCTTCACCCAAGTTGGGATGCCCTTAAATGCAAATGCAAGCTTATGTGTCAAGTCTTTTAACATTGAGGTTGGTTTACTCAGCCTAGGACTTTCGGGTTTATTGTTGAACCACTGTTTTGTGTGTTTCTTACAGTTTGACAACCTAAATGCCGCCCATGAGACCTCTAAGTTGGAAATCGAAGCTAGCCACTCGGAGAAAATAGAATTGCTAAAGAAGGCCTATGAAACCTCCCTTTCAGGCAAGGATGATTTTGTTTTTCCTATTTAAACTGAGAATGAGGTAATAGAAAAACAAGCGGAAATGATTCATAACTTTCCCCTCCAGAGAATGCCCCATGCTATTAGTTTGGGGTGTTCTTCATTGCCTTTTGCATTGTCCATTGTTAATGGATGCCCTTTTCCCCCAAGGATACAAACAATAGTTGGTTACAAATGCCAGTCTTTTAAGGAGCTAGGATGGACTTTGGAAGGTTTTCAAGGTCTTTTTGGGCAGTGATGGTGATGGTGGTAGATACTATTTCAGGTCCCTGGCAAATTGGGGATGTTTGTGTCCTGTCCACGGTGGCACACCAGCACCGTGGTGGAATGCAGATGGCTGCTGTTGGATAAAGAATCTTTGGTTATCACCAATCACTAATCACCAATCACTATCAGAAGGTTTCTCATGGAAGGGAAAGAGCAAGAAGCCATTCTCTCAGACTGTAGTCAGCAGAGTCTTCGCCCCAAACCAGTTGCATTTACAGAGTGGCACAGGATATATGGTAGAAATGGACTGTGTGAACTTGAACAAGGCAGGCCTTTTCTCATCAGAAAAATAGATGGCGTCTGAGGGTAATAGGGAAAAGTAGACAGTTAATAAACACCATTTCTCTTCTTTTGCTAGGGATGAGCTTAATTTTAGACTTTTTCATTCAGGAAAAGCAAATTGAAGAGAGCCTAGAAGCTCCAGATCAGGAGTCTGAGGCCTGTGTTTGGAGACTCTGTTCTTCATTCTGTTTTTTTGTTTGTTTGTTTGTTTTTGTTTTTTTTCCCCTGGGGCTTGAATTCAAAGACAGGGTGCTATCTCTGAGCTCTTTTTGTTAGGGCTAGCACTCTAGCCATAGCACTTGAGCCACAGCACTGCTTCTGGCTTTTTTTTTTTTTTTTTTGGTGATTAATTGGAGATAAGAATCTCACAGACTTCCTGCCTGGGTTGGCTTTGAACCACGATCCTCAGATCTCAGTTTCCTTAGTAGCCAGGATTACAGGCGTGAGCTACTGGTGCCTGGCTCAATCTATGTTTTCTAAGGTCCTGTCCTCTGAGCCTCAGTAGTACTTCCAGCTATACACTGGATCTCTTCCCTGCCCACCACAGGAGGCTATTCTGAGGAGAGATTGCTTGATTTATGTAAAAGCATCATGCCAATGTGAAGTACTATAGTCATAATTTCACAATCGGCACCTTCATTGATGCGTGACAGTTGTGGGGGTGATCTCACAAAATGATCTCGGCGCATATTGTTGCCTCAAGAAATGTCCCTTCTTTCCAGAAATCAAGAAAAGCCATGAAGTGGAAAAGAAATCACTTGAGGATTTGCTTTATGAAAAGCAGGAATTGCTAGAGGTGGGTGAATCTCTACCTCCATCGCCCCCCAAATCTTCCATCACCGCGGATGTCTGGTGGGCGCGGAGTGTATTTTAGTGAGCCTTCGCTCTGTCTCAGCTGCTTCACTTACATTCCATGTGCTGCTGTTTGTGTTTTAGAAACAAATCAATGATCTGAAGACTGAAAATGATGCTTTAAATGAAAAGTTAAAATCAGAAGAGCAAAAAAGAGTATCAAGAGAGAAGGCAAATTCAGTAAGTTATGTCTTCTATTGCTACTGAATTTCTCTTTTGCTCTGTTGCCTTTTAGACTTGACTAAGTGTTCAGTGACCAGGAAAATAATCCAGGATTATTCATGTCATGCAGTCGTGTTTGTTTAAACTGTATAAAACCGTTTCTTTGTTTACTAGTCCTCTTTTTTTTTTTTTTTTAACATCCTTACTAAACACTGACCTAGAAACAAAATCTTATTTGGAGTAGTATGAGCAAATATCTTTAGGAAAGTTAAGAACTCAATCAGGATCAGGGTTTGTTTTTCCTTCTTGTCTTTTTTTCTTTTGTTTTTTTGGGGTTTTTTTTGGTTTTTGTTTTTTTCTTTTGTTTTTTTTTGGTCAGTCGTGGGGCTTGAACTCTGGGCCTGGGCACTGTCCCTACGCTCTTCAGCTCAAGGCGAGCACTCTACCACTTGAGCCACAACACCACTTCCAGTTTTCTAGTAGTTTATTGGAGATAAGAGCCTCACAGACTTTCCTGCCCGGGGTTGGCTTTGAACCACAATCCTCAGATCTCAGCCTCCTGAGTAGCTAGGATTACAGGCGTGAGCCACAGGCACCTGGCCCTTCTTTTCTTCTTCTTTTGTGCCAGTCTTGAGGCTTGAACTGAGGGCCTGGGTATTGTCCTTGTGTTTCTTTTGCTCAAAGCTCATACTGTACCACTTGAGCTACAACTCTGCTTCCAGCCACTTGGCAGTTTATTGGAGATGAGAGTCTCACACACTTTCTGGCCCAGACTAGCTTTGAACTGCAATCCTCAAGATCTCAGTCCTCAAGTAACTATTATTTTCAGATGTGAGCCACCTGCACCTGGTTTGGATGAGGGTTTTATGTAAAGACCTTACCTTTTTGTTTTTAAATAACTGCTCTGTTACAAGATAATTGACATGACCACAGAGGTCACCATTTTAAAATGTAAAATTTAGCTGGTACTGGTAGCTTACGCCTATCATCTTAGATACTTAGGAGGCTGAGCTCTAAGGATCACAGTGTGAAGCCAACCTGGATAGAAGAGTCCCTGTGAGACTCTTATCTCTCTAATTAACTACTCAAAAACCAGAAGTGGCATGTGGCTCAAGAGGTAGAACACTGGAAGTGGCGCTGTAGCTCAAGTGGTAGAGCACTAGCCTTGAGCTGAAGAGCTGAGGGACAGCGCCCAGGCCCAGAGTTCAAGCCCCACTACCGACCAAAAAAAAAAAAAGAGGTAGAACACTAGGCTGGAGCACAAATAGGCTCAGGGACAGTGCCCAGGCCCTGAGTTCAAGCCCCATAACAAACAACAAAATGTAAAATGTAGTAGATTTTAGTGTGCTCAAAGTATTGCTTTTTGTTTACCAGTATCTAAATCCAGAACTATTTTTTTTTTTTTTTTGTCCGTTGTGGGGCTTGAACTCTGGGCCTGGGCACTATCCCTGCGCTCTTCAGCTCAAGGCGAGCGCTCTACCACTTGAGCCACAGCACCACTTCTGGTTTTCTAGTTGTTTATTAGAGATAAGAGTCTCACAGTCTTTCCTTCCCAGGCTGGCTTTGAACCATGATCCTCAGATCTCAGCCTCCTGATTAGCTAGGATTACAGGCGTGAGCCACTGGCACACAGCCCAGAACACTTTTATTACCCCAAAAAGGAAACCCAAACTCATGAACGATCACTCCTCTTTTTCCCCCGAAGCCTCATTCATACACAAGCTATTGATGGCGTATCCCAGACTTTCATATAAACGATCCTACCTTTTGTAATTGTCTTCTTCACATGCCACAGTGTTCTCAGGGTGTGTCAGCATTTTGTCTGTTTTTATGGCTGAAAAATGTCGCTTTTCAAAAACAAACTTCTCGAATTTCCCTTGAAATGTGATACCCTGGGTCTGGGTCTGTTGGCCTCCCTCCTTCCCCTTGAATTTAAAACAAAACAAAACAACACATTTGTCTTGCTCCTTTTGCACTAGTGCTGCTGCACTGTATGCGCTTGTGCTCTGAGAGTGAGTAGAGCTTTCCACCATGGGAGACCACTGGCTTGCAGAGACATTTTTCTGGGGATCTCATTAGGCGACCCTCTAAACATTTGATAAAATCAGATGAGATCCCATTCAAGCAAATTTCAGAGTCTCTTTCTGGAAGATTCTTAGGGACTATTAGTGATTTCCAAAGAAATGTAGATTTGCGTACTGAGGGTAGAACCCCACTGGTAGCTCAGGGAATAGGTTTTAAAGAGCTTGGTAGAACATAATAGCAGTTCTACTAAAGTCAGTCCCTGTCAGTGCTGGAGATTGGGGGTAAAGGTAAGTGAAGTCAGGAGGGATTGGCTTGCTGGGTGTGGTGGCTCAAGCCTGTAATCCTAGCTACTTCAGAAGCAGAGATTTGCAGGATCATGGCTGGAGACCAGCCCAGAAAAGAAGTTCACAAGATTCCATCACAACCAATGGGCTCACATCTATTAGCCCAGCTGTAGAGGAAGCATAGGGGCTTTCCTAGAATTAGGAATGGTTCTATGAACCATCCTAAGTCAAAGACTTGGGAGATTATTGCCCTGTCCCTTGTTTTCCAGAGAAAACATTTTATATCCATATCCATATCTATATCCATATCTAGCCATTCATCCATCCATCCTTAACACTGAAGATACTGGCTTTCTTTAGAGACAACCGTTGTTCCATTTTCCCACCTTATACCAGTTTAGCCCTTGTAGGTTGTCTAAAGATTACCCAGAGCTCTGTACTATTGCAAGCCATGATGCTGCTCTTGTTTCTAACAACATATTGAGTGTCACCAGTATTTTCTTCGTATTAGGTTACTGGTAAACATGAAGTGTATTTCCAATAATTTAACCAATATTTTTGAGATTAAAAATGAAACTACTATAAGAAGCCAATTAGTATTTGTTTAATGTGGAAATTGAACCCAAGATTCCTTATATTATGAATATGGATGATGTGATTGTATGAAGTAATTATGAAGTACTAAGTGTAAAGTACTGTCTTTTCCAGAAAAACCCTCAGATTATGTATCTGGAGCAAGAACTAGAAAGCCTGAAAGCTGTGTTAGAGATCAAGAACGAGAAACTACACGAACAGGACATCAAGTTAATGACGATGGAGAAGCTGGTATGTTTCCTTCCACATATGGATTGAGGCTCTTGCTAGCTGTGGTTTACTTATGAAACTGGGATGGAGTTCTGACCATAGAGTTTAGAGTTTGGTTAACTCCTATTTATATATATTTGGAAAACATACAGCAGTAAATGTTGGATTTTCTCTTCCAAGCTTGTTCAGGAGTCATTGCTGCCTCTAGTATGTTTATTTTTGAAGTACTGTAGAAAGTAGCATTCAGTCCTTGGAAAAATTAAAATCGGGCTCACCATATATTTTCATGGTCCCTGAAATTCTTCATCAGCCTAAGGAAAACATTTAAAAAATATAAAATGCTTCACCATGAGCTCAGGTGGATACGGAAATTCAGTTAGACATATCACCCATCTTTCTTCTTATAAATTAGAATGTAATAAAAAGAATTGGGACTCGAATTAGATTAATCCAGTTGGACAAACAGTAAGCATTGTGAAAAAATACAAGGAAATTTAGTTTGTAGCCTCTAGGACAGAGAATGGGTGTTTGTGTGGGGGACAAGTCTGCCCAGCATTCTGTGTTTGAAACCTCAGTCTGTGTTCTGTCTCAGTGTTGGCCAAGCCCTGAAACCCAGCTGCTACTAGCCAGGACTGTCTAAGTTGGCAGGCTTTTAGCAAGGCAGCTTATTAAGTGGTACCAGCCGTTTCTGTATGTTGTTCCTGCCAGTGCCAGCCTCCTAGCTCTTCTTGTCTTAGCCCAATAGGGAATGACTCATTCTTGAATAAATGCCTTATTCAAACCCAGACAGCCCCTGACAACAGCAAGCCTGAAAATCACTCTTGTCGGTTTGGCTTTTTCTTTGTTTAGAGTTTTGACTTAGTATGGTTTAGTTTTCCTCTGTAGACTATTTTAGACATTTATCTTGTTTAGTTTAAGGAGATAATGCAAAAACTATGCTATGGCATTTTATCGAGAAGTCTTGATTTTTTTTTTAAGGAATGCAAAGATCTCATGGTTGCGACTGGGCTCACCCTAGTAATATAGCAGTTTCTGTTATACCAGGTCAACAGCTCTGCTAATCAGGCAGTCAAGTGGTGACTGGGATAATCCTGTTAATAACTTGTTTCTCTATGTTGCCATTCATGCATCAAGACACTGCAGAAGATCAAGTGTGACAGAGATCCTGCTCTACAGTTACTAGCCCATTTTAATATCTGGAGATCCATAGAGTAGTATTTCTGTTCCTCGATTGCCCAAGAGATAGGGCAGTGTCAGCGTGAATTGTCATGTGGGCAGGGGATGGGTTCCTTTGATGACAGCAACACCCACTGTTGCTACCTTGTTTGTAAGAGTTTCAGGTCTTTGAAGAAGTTAAGACATACTTAAATACTAAGGTTGTCTGAGGAAGCCACTGGTTTGAAAATGAAGTCTGCCAATTGTTAGCTTTGTGGCAGAATTAGGTCTAGTTTTTACTTCTGTATACAGGAGGATTGGAGGAGATGTTTTAAGGTCAATCACTACCCAGTCTCTAATTCCAGTTTTCTCCATCTCCTGTTTTTAGCTTTAATTCCTTTATAATTACTGAGCATTTCAAGGTCTCCCTTTTTTTTTTTTTCATTCCAGACATATGTTCTGGGAAGTTATTTCACCTGACTGCCTTGTCCTGGGTGTTTTCTGGATAGGAGAATATCTTATATTAATGAGCTGTGTTGCTGTAGTGATAGGGCCTTAGGGTTAATTCTGGCAGAGCGGTTCTGTCACCTCTAAGGCATGTAATAAAATCATATACCTTTCGAAAGTGAGCTGGGAAGGCATCGGCTCTCCATTGTGTTCAGTGGTTAAATGTCTTCAGGGATCGTATCCTTTAATCTCTTGGCTGATAGATTTGTTCTCTGTGAAAATTTAGCCAACAAGAGCACTTACTAAGAGGGATGCCTTTTGTAGAATCTTCTGTTTGATACTCTACACAGCTTGGTTGTGTCCCTTTTTAAGTGGCCTAGGGTAGTTTTTTTTTTTTTTTTGGTCAGTCATGGGGCCTGAACCCTGGGCCTGGGTGCTGTCCCTCAGCTTTTTAGCTCAAGGATAGCGCTCTGCCACTTGAGCCACAGTGCCACTTCCAGATCTTTCTGCTTATGTGGTGCTGAGGAATCGAACCCAGGGCCTCATGCATGCAAGGTAAGCACTCTACCACTGAGTCACTTTCCAGCCCTGAGTAGATTTATTTTTAAAGAAATTTCTGTTTTGGGGCTGGGAAGGTGGCTCAGTGGTAGAGTGCTTGCCTTGCATGCATGAGGCCCTGGGTTCGATTCCTCAGCACCATATAAGCAAAAAGAAAAAAGCCGGCTCAAGTGGTAGAGCGCTAGCCTTGAGCTGAAGAGCTGAGGGACAGCACCCAGGCCCAGAGTTCAGGCCCTACGACTGGACCCAAAAAAAAGAAAAAGAAATTTCCATTTTGCCATTCTAGATGCCAGTTTATAAATATTTCAGTGTGCTATTAAGTTTTCCTAATTAAATTACTTTAAAGTGTGCTTGTGTCTGGAATGAGCATTAAGAAATGAGGGAGTCTTGTTTCTTATTACTGTACAAATTGTTCATGTCAAGGTGGACAACAACACAGCACTGGTTGACAAACTGAAGCGATTCCAGCAGGAGAATGAGGAATTAAAAGCCCGCATGGACAAGCACATGGCCATTTCAAGGTATTTTTCCTATTTCCTCTCATCCTCAAACATGTAGCATTACTTTATCACACTCCGCCATGTACCTCCTGAGAGTGCAATTCAAGTGGGCAAAGAGACCCTATTTCCATCTAGGAAATAAGGCAGTTTATGCTTCTGCCAAAGCAGCTTTCTCACCAATCCCCTGGGTTGCTGACTCTGAGACTGCTTTTGGAGAAAGCAACACAAAACTAAATAGAAAACTGCTCCAAATTTGTAGGGGTTATATAATACATAGAGTACGGGTCTAAGTGACATGGTTCACTATGCAATTGTCCCAAAAGTAGAGTTAGGATCTTTTGCTTTTTAGAAGGAGTATTCAAGTTTCTTAGCCAGATTAAAACCTGTAAACCTTTATAGGGCTGTTTCTGCCATAAAGCTAGGTTTGTGGACTTCCAATATAAATTGGTAAGATTTTTTTAGTTACTGTGTTTAGTTTGTATGTGTGTACATGCCAGTTCTGGGGCTTGAACTCAGTGCCTAGGCACTAGCCTTTAGCTTTTTCCCCTTGAACCACAGCTCTACTTCTAGCTTTTTGGTGGTTAATTGGAGATAGGACCCTCATGGGACTATTCTGCCTGAGCTGGCTGTGAACCATGAGCCTCGGATCTCAGCCTCCTGAGTAGCTAGGCTTATGGGCATGAGCCACTTGCCCGCTGCTTGAGTTATTTTTTTTCAACCTCGATCCACATGTTTTCTCTGTCTTTCATCTTTCAGGCAGCTTTCTACAGAGCAGGCCGTGCTGCAGGAATCCCTGGAGAAGGAGTCGAAAGTCAACAAGCGCCTTTCCATGGAGAACGAGGAACTGCTGTGGAAGCTGCACAACGGGGACCTATGTAGTCCCAAGAGATCCCCCACGTCCTCAGCGATTCCCTTTCAGTCACCCAGGAATTCTGGCTCCTTCCCCAGCCCCAGCGTCTCACCCAGATGACGCTTTCTGCAAGCTGAGACTGCAAAAGCATCCGGATGCAGGTCTGCAGGACTGACCCTCATACCGACCATGGGAGTCAGAGCTACGTCAACTCTCCTGGAATTTCTGCAGGACAACTGGAAAGCCACCATCCTATGGGCTACTTTTGAGATGGGAACTCTGGGGGGGAGGGGTGACTTTTGATGTGGTCCAAGAGTCATCCCCTTCCCCCCTGCCCAACAGATTTTGGAATCGATGTGGACGTTGTTGCACAGAGCACTTAGGAATGAGAGAATCTTGTTCGTTGCCTTTTTCACCTAAGCATAAGGGGAAAAACTCTCAGGGGCCTATTAAGATAAAGAATTATAACCTTTGTAACGTTCTTCACCACAGACACCTTCCTGTGATTTTTATTTCTGATTGGGGGGGGAGGGGCAGGGTATGAATGAAATGGATGTAAAAGAGTGTCACGTGTCTGATGCAGTCTTCTTTGCTGTGTATTAAAAGTCAACAGCTGAATCTCCATGGGTACATGCTAATCAAGTCGTAGTGTACACATTTCAACAAAAGCCATAGAAGAAAAAGCAATAGTTGCTTGAATTATATTTACTACCAACTCTGCTCAGCCTGGATATGGTGAGTAGAAGGTGTGAAAAAAAAAGTTTTTTGACTCTGCAATGTCTGTCCATTTCTCTTTGGAGTAATTGTTAGCAATTTTTCAGTGTTCAGTTCTGTCAGTTGAAACTAGGTAAATTCTTTTTTCACTAGGATCCATTTTCTCAGGCTACGAGCAAATGTAGAACCCTAATTTTTCTAAAGATTAAAAAAAAAATCTGTATAAAGAAAAAAATACCAATGGCAGGACCAATAATTGTTCTGCCTTATTTTTACCTTGATCTAAGCTATTCTTAGAAAGTTAAGCCTTCCTCTCCTCTCCCATCTGCCTCATTGATTCCTTTCCTTTCTCTGATATCCACAGCCACAAACGCAAACCTTCTACCTCCTATCTACTTGTCTCTGGGACAAAGATAAAAGGAATATGCTTTTCCAGATGCAACTTCTCTTCAAGGTGCTGAACCCAAATTCCAAAATAAATTAAGGCCTGGGATTGAGTCTACTGATTCTGGAGAAAAAAAATCTTAGGGAAAATAAGGAGGAAAGTCATTGGCTGGATAGGATTCTGTACATGCTAATGAACAAAAGCCCTTAGATTAGGCCCGTGATGCAGTATTTGATAGAATGGTCTGGGGACACAATGGTAAGTTGGGATAAAGTAAAATGGGCAGCTGAGAAGTAGTTTTATATAATTCTCCTTTGGGTTGCATTTGACTTTTCAAAGCTTCTTGTTACCTCCCCCCGTTGTAAGACTTTGGGGAAGGTGAAGGACAGTTGTGGCTTCTCTGCACTGCATGTGTCCACATGGTGATGTCAAGTGTTTTTTTTTTCTGAGCTCGATGGCTGTGCACATAACCCCTAGAGAAAGAACAGATTCAGGAACTGGAGGTGGGTATTTGAGTTGTCATATCCATGTACACTAAATAACAAATTGATATTTCATGATGCATGTTTTTAATTTGTAGTTGTGTTTGAAGTCTTTAACCGCCTGTAGTTTCTTGCATACATAACCCTTCCATGTTTGCTTTCAAAGAACTGAGAGCTTAGTTCATTGCTGCCTCCCAGAACAGCTCTTCCCATGCTTCCAAATTGTTCTCTGTGACATTAGCCAAAGTTGGGTTTGCCACTCATCCCTGAGCATGGTAAGTTTCATGCGATTTCCTGCTGTCTTCCATACTGTTTAGGTATCTGGGAAATCTGATAGTAATTAGTATAAAATGTCTTCAGAGGATGGAAGACAACAGGAGACAATAGGAACAAAATAGCTTTGTTTTTCCCAAACCAAATGTTTTATGTAGGTTGAAAATGTTGGCACATCATAGAAGTACAGATGTGTGAGCTGTAGTTGTGTTCAGTTTATAGTGATGGAAAGTGTATTTTACTTCGATCAAATAAATAATGCTGGAATCTTCCTAAGAATTGCAGCCTCTGACATACTTTACTCTTCAAAGCGTTAACTGCTGGGCTGTGCAATGGAAGATCGCTTCCTAAGCCATTTCACAGGAATTTCCAGTGCAACCACACAAAGCATCATGGGTTTAATGAAAATAAACTTTGGCTGGTTTTAATTTCTGTATAAGAGAAATGGGATGGCTATGGTCGATATATTTTTGAAGGTGGGTCTAGGTAAAATAGTTGTAGCTTCCTTCATCTGCATCTGTTTTGTGAAAAATCAATGTCTACACAGTAGACAATCTCCAGCTACTTGTGGCTACGTGTACTCTTCAAAAGTTAGCATTAATACTAAGTACTGACCCAACTATTACTGCCAAAAAGTCCTTCTAGACTTAAAAAACACATAGCCCCCCTCTTTTTTTTTTTTTTTACAAAAACTTGCACATTTAATAGAAAATAGAAGTGATTATATAAAGTTGTCGACATATGTGCTTTCTTAGTATAAAAACTAAAAACACATGAATCGTAGCTAAGCAATCAGAAAACATGCTTTCTGTTAGAAAAGTTAACGCTTCTATTAATAGACTGACTTCCTCTTAGTCAGATGTCTGTCTGGCTCACAGGCCAGTGTGGGCACTTGATGTTGGCCTCTAGAAAAGCACAAATCAAAGAACCCCAAAGCAGATTGTGTGCACCGATGAGCTTTCCATCTGTCCACTCTACTTCCCTTTCCTTCAAGTCAGGAAAAGTCAACAGTGGTAGCAACCGTTGTCTGTCCTCGGAGATTCTGAGCAGTGCAAATATAATATCCCGCATCGATGGTCTCAAAGTCTTCGATGGTAATGATACTCTGGGAGAGTCTTGTGGTATGTCCAAGCCCTCTGTGGACCAGCCTCCAGGTGTCCTGAATCGTCACAGGTCTTTCATCCTGTTTAACAACACCCAGACAAACTGAAGCAAAGAGGGACAAGCAATCCGGAACATCTCTCATGCACACAATCCTACTGTGTGTCCCTTTCAAAATGCAAAGTACATGCTCATGAAAGACTACTTGGTAGGTGGCACTCATAGGCTCTGGGAGCTTTTACACCCTACAGCTGCATTATTTTTCCCCAAGCAGTGTCTTGGAATTTCAAGATGCAATTTGGTGATTTCTTTCTTTTCTTTAGTAAGTTTCTACTTAAAGCAGTTTCTTTTGGCTGTAAGTGGAACTGCTATTAACAAAAGCAAAATGCCTCACTGTTTTCATTTTTACTTTTTTCATTGTTCATCCCTTATTGGTTCTTCACAAACTCAAAGTTAGAAGCCCACAGGACTTACTATGTAAATAAATATGAGTTCCTACTAGTTTAGAGAAGTGTTGTGCCTCAGGACTCCAAAGAAAGGGAACTTGGAGCAACAAAGAATAAGATAATGCCCTAGACTATAGGACCTCCCTTTCAAGAAAGAGATAGGATCACTTCTGACATAGTTCAGTCAACTTTGGTGATGGGAGCATAGTGTTTTCTGACTTTAATCTGTTGATATTGTTGTACTCATAAGATACTCATTAGCCAAGTGCAGCAAACACCGAGTAGCAGAATGCTGGAAAATCACTATTCCCTAGGGGGTAGTTATTTCCCACCTGTCCTAACCGCTTGTCTTGGGATGACAAATCTCTTCTGGCAACAAAAGGATTATTCCATGTTGGTAGCAGAGTTGTTTGTTTCAGTGAGCAGAACACGCATAAAGGCTAACTATGCAGTGTTGCTTTTATGGGAGGTCTATTTTTAAGATCTCTGACCTCGAGGCACCTTTTTGACAGGGCTTAGGGTTTTTCTACATGCCATTTGGTGAGTATCTGTTCAAAACTGTGCAGCACAGAATACAGTTTGGCTAGAAAACATTAAGAGAATCCCAGAGGAGAGGAGATTTGCTTCTGGTAGACCCAGAGAGTGGGACTGAATGAAGATTTGAAGTTGGCTGAGGGAGATATCTCTCCATTGCCCACTGTCTGACCTTAGGAGTGGCAAAGGAAAACTGGGTAGGAGCAGGGCATAGGGTGAATTGCCTAGGGGAGCCATTCCATTTTTTTGTTTCCCTTATCATTTTTTTTTTTTTTAAATCTCCATTTGTAAATATACTGACACATCAGAATGAAATAAGCAAGCCCTGCTCCTACCACAGTCCCACTAATTTCTTAAATTAAGACTAAGTAAGGCTGGAATGTCTCGCTTACCTTCTGCCCTGGAAAGATCCACCTGAATTCTACTTCCACATCAGGCTCCCCAAGGACAGTGCACAGCACACTGATGTCGTCCCCGCCCTTCACTTTGTTTGAGGAGGCCAAGATGGTTGTTGATGGAGGGCCACTGGGAACTGGAAGGAAGCAGGAGACAGTGCGATCTATCAGATGAAAGACACACACACATACACACTGGCATTCTTTCCTTTAGACAAACATCTCTTACTTCACACCCAGCACCAGCTGACACCAGTCAACCCTCATCTTTGAGACCCGCCCCCTCCTCTGCCACCTGGGCGGTCATCCGGAACTCCATGGTGAGCCTTCTCTGCTTGTGATCAAGGAAGGAGCTATAGGCTCGGGGTCATAGGAAAGGAACCAAAAGGCAAGAAGGGGAAGGGAGTACAATACAATGAAGGCATGGTGGATGGAGGTGTCTGAAGGATGGAGATGGACAGACCAACGTGTGGGCATGGATCCTCGGGAAGGAAAGCTCCAGTATACAGGTGAGAAGGATGTCTGCGGGACAGGCACCAATGCCTTCGGAGCATTTCAGGACCCCATTTATTCATATCGTCAGCTCACTGAACAAGTGGTGTTGATGGCAGCCTTCACAAGGTGACCGGTGGAGACTTTGCCCCAAGAGACTGCACTAAAGTGGAAGGTTCAGCCATGGAACCAACTAATGGAATGGTTCACTTCAAACTTTAATTTTGTGAAAAGCCCAGAGTGCTCAGAAAGTTTGGAATCGTTCAAGAATGGCTTCCTGGAGGAAGCATGTCGACACTAAAATCTCAGAGATGGACTTAAAAGACACGAAGGAAAGGAAAAGGGGAAAGGTACTAATTAGCCAACGAAGTTCCCTGAACTGCAGGGCTGTAGCCTATCTGTGGGCACACTGCATGGGCTCACCGAGTGCCCACAAGCAGCATGGTCTGCAGTGCAGGGCCAGGTGGTGAATGAGTTGCACGCACGAGAGGCCTCTGTGCCCTGGGGACTGCTTAGGTTTGCCATCTCCATCACATGGGGACAACCGTTTCTGGGCTCCAGCCTCTCTCCTGTCTGTCTGGCTGGGAGCTGATCAGGTAAAGGTGAGGGAGGAGAGCTAGACTTCCCCCACTCCAAGCTGCTAGCCACAGAGCAAGCTGGCTGATGGGGAGAGCGAGAGAAGGCTTTGGAGCAAATGTGAGATTCACATATTAGCTGAGCATTCTTAAAAATCAACATGAGGCTTTCTTACTAACTCCAAGTGCCCATGGACTTGAAATTGAGCTGTCACTAGTGCATCTTAAACGTCTTAGGAAAGGAGAATAATGCAAGTTACTGAGGGTGGGGGAGGGATTTCCTCCTAGTCTTTCCTAGATGAATGCACAAATTGAGAGTCCTCAGTCAAATGGTCACATTCAAACCCAGTTCTAGTTTTTTTTAACAGGAATTGAATTATGTTTCTGTTCTGTCAAGAGACAACAAGGTAACCCAGAAGGATATGAGGCAGGTACCAACTAGAGGATTCCCAGCTTGCAGTCTATACTTGGAAAATGGACAAGCTGGGGGGGGGGGGCGGGGGGAGGAAAAAAACAAGACAGGAGAGACTGGAGACCAGGGGTTCTGGGGATGTCATCCAGCCACCCACAGTATTTTCACAGCAGCCCTCAGTGTCCCCAGTCTGGGCATAGCCAAAAGCCATCACTTTATGTAAGACAGTGCTCTTCTGGACAGGTGGGAGAAAAGTACAGAGGGCAAAAAGTTCAGGGCATTAGACAACCATGGAGTGGAACGCATGTGGGTGGGAGGGGGGAGGAGAGATTTGAGAACAAGCGGAGGGTGGAGGTGAGGATCAGAGCAGGAGGGAAGCTCAAGCCTGTGGCCAAAGCTGGAGGTGGAACTCATGCGGATGTCAGACCTGTTAAGAGGGTTGATGTGTTAAAAGTTGGGACTAAGGGTGGGAGTGGGTGTGGTGGGTAGTGACAGGCCAGTGGATTCCAAGCGGAGACAAGTCATCCTGAAAGTACAATGGCGGGAAAGACGGCAAACCCAGTGCCAGCACCTTTGATGAATGGCTGTGAGTGCCGACCGGAGAGGGGAAAGCCGGCGGAGCCACAAGCAGGGCCACAGGAGGTGAAAGACTGAGGCTGGGAATTGGGAAAAGCACCAAGAAGAACATCAACCCTGGTGGAGGTGGGGGCGGTATGCACTGTGCTCTTAGGAGACTGGTTCTGGCTGACACGTTGCTGAGAAGATGTTCTAGGCAAGGCTGGGTCATAAAGGGCTTGCTGATCAAGCCCAAGAGACAGGGTACAATGAAAAGATCTGGAAGGGAGTTCTTGTGAATTTTCCATCAGGTCAGTGTGCAGGAAGCAGAACATTCTAGAAGTGCAGTAGAGGGGCTTGTAAGACCAGCATTCTGTGCCTCTCTTTCCCAAAACTAATTAACCAGAAGTGACTGAGATCTGGGCACCGGGAGGAGCAGTCTTACCTTCTACATACAGCAGCTGATACTTGACAGAGATCTGAGATTTGCCCCCGGCTTCCGCCTTGCAGTAGACCACCCCCTGGTGGTCAGAATGAGGCTGCAGATACACAAAGCCTCTCTTCAGATCATAAGTAATGTCTGTTCCATTGGTAGGGATTTCCTTGGCAGGGAACTCCCTGTGGAGTGTGACTTTGGCTGACAGCACAGTCACTCGACAAGGAACCACAGCCTGTCTGTCAGGGTTCAGGTAGACAACATCGAAATAACTGGGAGAAGGCACGAAGAGTTCTCCTTTCTCTGCAAAAGGAAATATGCAGGCCTATTTATTCTGGAAAAATGTGCTTAAGCAAGACTTAAAAGATTCTTACAGTCAGGCACAGAGATGTGTGGGCATTGACGGTATACTCAAGAGAGTGGGTTCATAGACGTGGGAAGAGCTGGGCTTTTTCATGCTTCATTTTTTTTTTAAAGGAATGATTTCCTGGTTTAGCCTGGACGTTAGCCGTTGCCCAGTCCGTATCGTAAAGGCCTAGTCCTCAGGGTAGCTTTAGAAAACAAGTGGGAGGTCTTTAGGTCATTGGAGACATGCTTGAAGGAGATTGTGGAAGTCTGGCCTTTCTTTTCCCCTTTGCTTCTGAGCCAGGAGGTGAGCAGCTTTCCTACACACAGGTTCTTGTGATGGCTCACCATGGACCCAAGAAATGGAGACAATTGATCCTGGACTAGAATCTTCAAAATGGTAAGCCAAAAATCAACCTTTTCTATTTATAAGGTGGTCACCTCAAGTATTTAATTATAGTGACAGAAGTACACATTCCCATCTCCTTAGGAAATAAAAAAGGTGTTAATGCAGTTGGTATCAGACCCATGACTTATAAAGAAGTAGGGAAAGAACTGACTTCCTTAAGAATAGTCTTAGGGCCGGTGACCTGGCTCAAGTGGTAGAGCTTCTGCCTGATAAATGCAAGGCCTTGAGCCTAAACAACAAAAACAAAATACCCAACATTTTTCAAATCTTGAAACAATCTGCAGTTTCTTTCTTTTCTTTCTTTCTTTCTTTTTTTTTTTGTCAGTTGTGGGGCCTGAACTCTGGGCCTGGGTGCTGTCTCTCAGCTCTTCAGCTTAAGGCTAGCGCTCTACGACTTTGAGCCACAGTGCTACTTCCAGCTTTTTCTGCTTATGTGGTGCTAAGGAATTGAACCCAGGGTCTCATGCACGCAAGGCAATCACTGAGCCACCTTCCCAGCCCTACAACCTGCAGTTTCTATGTAGAGACAAAGTCCTGTAGGCTACCACAAATAACTGTGTACGTGTGTATACATATATGTGTATGTATATGTACACATACACATATGTATATGTATACACACATACACATGTTGGTTGTGGGGCTTAAACTCAGGGCCTGGTGTTGACCCTGAGCCTTTTCCCTCACGATTAGCTCTCTACCACTTTGAGCCACAGCTCCACTTCTGGTTTTCTGATGGTTAACTGGAGATAAGAGTCTCATGGACTTTATACTAGGTCTGCTGGCCCCTTCCCCCTTTGCTTTCCCTTGGTGCACACATGTGGCCCACCCTAGAAGTCCCCACTCAGTATCTGTAGCCCCAGGTAACTGGCGCAGTAAGAGGTTCCCAGGCTCTGAGGTCACGTCTATAACTGCTGTGGAAACCCCTTCCTCCTGCCCTCTCCCCATATAATCAGTCTCCACCCTTAGTTCCATTCCTTTCCCTTCCTTCCCTCTGCACAGTTCAACCTCTCTCTCCTTTCTCTTCTACACTCTCTTCACATCTCCACCTCATGGGGGGCTGGCAGGTTCCATTTCTCCTAATAAACTCCCCTCTGCCTGAACAAACACACGGAGGTCTCCTTTCTCCAAACGTTACACTTTCCTGACTGGACTAGTTTTGAACCCCAATTCTCAGCTCTCAGCCTACTGAGCAGTTAAGATTAGAGGCATAAGCCACCATTGGCTGGCTAATAACTGCATTTTTCAACACATCGGAGTTGTCCTGAAAAGTGTAGCACAGTGGCAGGGCTGGCATCGTCACCCCGTCCTCACTCCCAGCCCAGGAGACCTAGTGCCTGCCCAGGCTGGAGGAAGAGAATGGAGCAGCAAGAAAGGAAGAACCAGCTGGCCTCAGGTCTGGCCTCCGCTAGGCCACCACCTGGCTGAGGACCTTCAGCCAACCTCACATGCTTCCTCTCCCCTCTGAAATGCACACTGCAAGATTCTTTGGCCCTAGATGGTTCATTCGTATCTTACAGAAAGGGAGGAAGAAATGGGTAGCTCAGTGTGTCACCAGGATGGTGAAAGGATTCTGGGCTGGGCGTTCCGCTTGGTTTCTTGCATGCATTGTTCAGGTGTGTTTGTTTCATTTCGTAAAACACATTTGAATGCTTTGTTTTCTGGATCATTCTGTGAAGGAATATTATACTAATTACTGAGTGAAAGCTTTGGGGCTAATCATAACACTTGTTAAATTATTTCCTGTGCCTGTGTGTTCATTGCCATGTTCCTAAAACAGAATTGTTGTTAGCTTTCTCCTCGGCTAGCCTTGTGTGTCAACACTGTATGGTGTTTTGGGCTGGCCACAGGAAACACTATCAAGTGTCCTCATGGGCCAAGAGTTCTTTGGCTCTAAGTCCAAGTTCATTATTACTTGGGGAATCATCTTCTTGGCTCCTAGCACAGGGAAGAGAACAATATGGCTTCCGAGGGTCTCTATCGTTACAAGGATAGCAAGTAGATGAGGTGATTTACACTACTATATAAACTGACTTTCAGGCCCAGGTAAGGGGCATCTTCCTAATGTACCTAACATCCATGTTTTCATTTCTCTGTGCTTCAACATACCCATTTGTCAAGAGAAACATCTGGAGTCAAAAATATTGAAGACATGTTGTTTTGGCACTGACATTTAAGTAGTGTGTGTGTGTGTGTGTGTGTGTGTGTGTGTGTGTGCACGTGCACAGGCACCAGTGATACTGTACTTGAACTCAGGGACTTGGGGTCATGCTCAGCTTTTTGTCTTTTTTTTTTTTTTTTTAAATCACAGGTAGCATTCTACTACTTGAGCCGTGCCTCCAGTCTAGCATTTTGCTGGTTAACTGGAGATGGAGTCTCATACTTTTCTGGGCTGGCGTTGAAGTTTGAACTTCTAGGTCTCAAGCCTGGGATTGAGTAGCTAGGATTAGAGGCATGAGCTACTGGCACCTAGTTAATTTAAGGCTTTTTAAATTTTAATTGTAAGATTATGGAGGATATTTTTAAGTTTGTAGAGTAATATGAGCCAATAAGCAAAGACAAAAAAATTAGTAAATGCTATGAATTTGAAAACAAAAAAAGGTGTCTTCTTGTATTATAATGCAAGCTTTGAATAACCTGATTTCAGTAGTTTCCATCCACAAAAAGAAATATTGGGGGGCTGGGAAGGTGGCTCAGTGGTAGAGTGCTTGCCTTGCATGCATGAGGCTAGGTTTGATTCCTCAGCACCACATAAGCAGAAAAAGCCAGAGGTGGCGCTGTGGCTTAAGTGGTAGAGTGCTAGCCTTGACCTGAAGAGCTGAGGGACAGTGCCTAGGCCCAGAGTTCAGGCCCACAACCAGCAAATAAAAAAGAAAGAAATGTTGGTTCATTTAAAAAAATTATAGGCTACATATGTCCTGTGCATGTAACTACTCATATAACTTATAGGGAGCTGGAACACGTGGGATTTTATATTAAATTTAATAGTCTATAAACTAAAATCTCAATTAGGGCAAACTCAGTATTTAGTAAAGTACTCATTCAATGTGCTCTCCTTATTTAGGAAAATGATTGCCTACGCAATCATTATTATAACCAGCTCTTCTGCTGGTAATAATATTCTTGTCCTTGATCTGTCTGGGTGTGGTTACATGTGTCCGATCCCTTGAGGATAACTAAGCAGTATGGAAGGAAACGGAGAAGAGTAGAATAGGAAGAAGAAAAACTGCTCTGTGACCCTACAGATGAAAGAAGAAAGGTGACAGTTACTCAAGCAAACGTTGCACACATTAACAACAGTCAGCCCCTAAAAGAGCCTCTCGGTGTTTTCAATCAAATTGTAGTAAAAACACAAGCATAATGAACAGCAGCTGCGTCTCCACACGGGTGGCTCAGAAGCATATGTTCTGCAGTATGAACCTCAGCTTCTCTAACAGCCCATCTTGTTTTCTCAAAACCACCCACGCTTGAGAACAGAACTTCCAAAATCGACTGAAAATCCAACTGTACTCTTTGCTTCATGTAGTGCAGAATGAAAAGATGCAACATTTTAGGTTACCTCCTTTTCTGACTCTCAATTTTATAATTATTATTATCCTTCATCTTAATTGGTTGCTCCTGACAGTCCTACTTAACGCTAACTAGTGTCTGTCAATAACCTTGTTCTAGGTAGGACTGAGGTAGGAATAAAACTGGCCTGTTGGGCAGATAAAACCTGATCTGACTCCTGACTGTAAGTCAGGGAATGCTTGAAGAATTACCTTGCCTTTCCCAGTTGCTGCATCAGCATTATTTTAAAAAGAGAATAAAGTAGCTCTTGCTCTTTCCTGGGAATTCTGTGGAAGTGAATAAGATACTTGTGCTTCCTGAATGATAGCACAGAGCTATTTGGGTACCAAGGGATAAGTACATGAGATGTTGCTAATGCATTCAGTAATGACCGTAGCCGGAGATCATTTGGAAAACAGGCTCATGTCACTCCCAGGTATTCAAAGAAGATGGATTCAGGATAGAAACAATCTCATGGAGAAAAAAAAAAAAAAAAAGGATTCTTGCTTTATCTGAAATGTCTTGGATAAGAGCGATAGGAGGACATGGAATTTGAAAGTTGTCCCTGAGCTGGGGCACTTGTTAGAGAACTTTATCCCCTACCTTCAGAGCCTAAGGAATTTGGCTGAGGAAGGAGGCTGGTGGAGGGGTGGGAGGAGAGGGGGCTTGTGCAACACTGTCTCTCCAAGTGCTAGCTCCACCTTGCAAACACCAGCACTGGAGGGGAAGAGAAGAACTCTTCACTGTGACCTGAATGTCTTAGGCTCTCTACTCAGGCCTGGGGACTGGAGACACAAAGGTCAGTCTTCAGGAATTTTGCCTTCTAATCTTCAGCTCAGAGGAGTCTTAAAAGCTGCCTATGACTGTGGAGTTTCTATAAAGGAGTTGATAAGTTCTGAGAAAGCAGTAATGAAAAGTCTATGTATCCAGAGCTCTCTATGATGGTGGAAACTGTATCTGTGCACTGCAGTAAACATAGTCAACACTTAATGCTGCATGCTGCCACTGAGCATACCAAATGTAGTGTGACCAAGATGGTTTTTTACCCACTGCTTTTTTTTTTTTTTGTCGGTTGTGGGGCTTGAACTCTGGGCCTGGGCGTTGTCCCTCAGCTCTTCAGCTCAAGGCGAGTGCTCTACCACTTGAGCTACAGCGCCACTTAATTTTATTTATTTATTTATTTATTTCATCAGTCGTGGGGCCTGAACTCTGGGCCTGGGCACTGTCCCTCAGCTTTTCAGTTCAAGGCTAGTGCTCTACCTATTGAGCAACAGCGCCACTACTGGCTTTTTCCACTTATGTGGTGCTGAGGAATCGAACCCAGGGCCTCATGCATGCAAGACAAGTGCTTTACCACTGAGCCACCTTCCCAGCCCCCAAGATGGTTTCTGTTTTACGTTTTGGTACCTGGTACAAAACCAAAAGTAAAATAAAAATGTTATTTGTTGTTGGATCAAATGTTATTTGTTGTTGCCATGATCTTGCTCAGCTTTCTTGCTCACAGCTGGCACTCTACTACTTTTTGCTTTTTGCTATTTCTGGAGACTCAGACTTTTCTGCCCAGGCTTTGAACTTCATTTCTCTGATCTCATTCTCCTGAGTAGCTAGGACTTATGAACATGAGCCACTGTTTTTTTTTTTTTTTTTAGGAGGAGGGGGGCCAATATTTTGAACTATGCAGGTCCAAACCCTTGAATCAGAGTTCAGAGTTCAAATTCTTGTACCACCACCTATTTGCTCTGGGAGCTCAGTTTCCCCCATCTGAAAAGAAAAATGATATTCATACTTCACCTGAAGGGTTGTAGTAAAGATTTACATGAAACAACCTACCTAAATCACTAGTCCAGAGCCTAAACAGTGAATACTTGCTGTCATTTTTTCTATTCAGTATCCAATGGGACCCCAGGTCTGGGCCAAGTCGAGAAGTCTGAAGAGTTCCTCTAATGAACCAAATGCATTACCTGTAAAGAAGATGTAGGTAGATCCTGTTTTGGCCTCATCCCTCCTGCAGATGTAGCCATTGCATAGCTGACCCCAGCAGCTGAATTCACCCGTGTCAGCGGAGGTGGTGTTGGCCAGGGTCAGTTGGCCATAACGCTCATGCTGCTTCATGCTGTAAATACAAAAATTGCAGAAACTCAGGCCAATCAGGGGCCTGCCAGCACCACTCCCTGATCCATTGTTCTCAGTTATAAACATCCTTGATGTTCCCTCCCTCAAAATGGCACAAACAATCAATGTGTTTGGAGAAAACGGGCTGTGGGGAAAAGGCAGATAGGATATCCTTTCCTAAAAGGAAATCATAAATGCAATTATGTTTTCCAAGGAAAGGAAATTCCTTTTGACCTTAGAACTGGGGGTTTCCTTAAGTAAGATCAAGGGTGCATTTAGCAAAAAGGTCTCAGCAGCTCAGCCAAAAAGCCTTAGGCTGGTATTTGGCTTTCAGCCTTGGGTTTTTTTTTTTTTTTTAATGAGTTCTTTAAAAAGCAAATGGCATGAAGAAGAGCCTACAGAATTATCCAATATCCTTTTCATCAATAAAGATGACTCCGAATATAAGCACGAGTATTCAAGATGCTGTGCTATCTATTAAAAATGAAACCTTACTGCGTTGTACAACTATTTAAATAAATATATTTTTAAAAAAATGAAGCCAGGTGCTGGTGAGCCCATGCCTGTAATCCTAGCTACTACTCAGAAAGCTGAGGTCTGAGGATTACAGTTCAAAGCCAGCCTGGGCAGAAAAGTAACCTCTCAAAAACCAGATGTGGAGCTGTGGCTAAAAGTGGTAGAGCACTAGTCTAGAGTGAAAGAGCCAGAGTGGTGTCCAGGCCCTGAGTCCAAGCCCTACAACTGACAAAAGATAAAAAAATAAACAACAATAAATAAAAACAAAAATAAAATGCACTAAGATAAGGATTGCTTCTGGTAAAGACCTTTATCCCTTGTCCTGAACAGTTAGGGGTCTTAGCTGTCACTTAATCTATAGCACTCTGAAGAACAATGGCACCCCAGTTCTAGACCAAGTCCAGAGTTTATTTAGTATCGTTGGGTCCTTGGGGTTTTCCTCTGGTCTTATTCTATTTCTACTTTAATTTTCTCTTTATTTCTTCTGTGCTCTTATCTTATTGCCTGGTAAATATGTTTGCAAACCATTTCAAGTTTGTTTGTTTAATGAAGAGAGAAGTGTTTTTTATATAAACAGTAACCATAGTCAATATTAATGGTAATTACATTATTTTGTGACAGGAATCTAGAAATAACCTTGGAACGGATCTTTCCCATTGATTTAGGAGTCCTTACTCATGAGGTTGCAGAAAACATGACTGATGTGAGGCTTCATCTCAAATATCTAAATATTTCTCTCCTCTGAGACCCACTGAAGTAGTTGAGATTTCTCCGTTTTATCTTACAGCACGAATTGTGCTGTCACCACTTTAAAAATAGCACATACAAAATTTTCTGGTTGGTCTGTCCTAAACACAGCCTGTTCTAGTCGTGAATAGCTTGTTGTGCCCACCAGACATGTTCCTAGTGTCGAAGCTCCCACACCATCAACTGCCTCCTTTAAAACGGAACGGAAATCTCTCCTCCCTCAGGAAGCTTCTAATTACAATAGACTCTCAGGAATCTTCCCACTTTTCTTCTGATGAAGTAACTGGCTCCCTTGTTCTCTATCCCTCAGATACCCTGGCTTCCTGTTTTTACACTGAATGGCTGGTGATAATGAGAGGGATTGTACCGTGTCTGTCTTACATTCCCTGAGTGACCAATCTGTGCAAAACATACAGGTAGGATTCCCTAAGAGGTGTGACTTCAAAATGAATCGAACCACAGTGTTGGGAAGAACCCTGAAAGGCAGGTTTCTAGCACTCCATTTGCAGCTGTTATACTTTAGATCTGAAGTCTTAACCAAAGGCCCATGCGCTGAAGGCTTGTTCCACAGGCTATGGTACTCTTGGAAGGTCATAGAATGTTTTAAGAGAGTATGGGGCCTATTGGGAGATCTTCTGGTCACTGAGGCATATTCTCGTAGGGGAGAGTGATACCCTCTTCCTCTTCTCCTGCTTCCTGGCCATGAAGAGAATGACTTTGCTCTACCATGTGCTCCCTAAGCCCAAAGCAATCGGGCTACACTGGAAGCTACAAAACAATGAGCCTAATTTTTTTTTTCCTCTCTTTTCAAGAATCTGTTACTTAACAAAAGGGCAACTGACATAGCAGAGGAGGACATGAGTCTCAGCAGAAACGACGTCCCTGAGACCCACAGCTAGTGACCAGCTGAGAGAAGGTTCCCTAGTGACTTAGGCGTGAACTGAATATGTACCCGTGAGGTAATGAGATGCATATAAAGTATTTCAAGCAAGGCCTGCTTCAGTGTCTTCTCCTAATTATTTCTAATTACACATAATTACAGATTAAGTTATTGTGAATACGACCACAGCAATGACAAACAACACACACCCAGCGTTGGTGAGAGTTAGCCAACCACACAAAACACTGTGGACTACAAGGAGATTGCTATCCAGTGAAGGAGTTAAAAATGAACATATATCAAAAAGTCTAAGAATGACAGAATTCTCAAACTCCTTGCTGTAGGTTGACGAAAGCGAAGGCGGCTCTGAGCAGGTGAGACAAGCTGGATTTGCTCAGATAGGGGGACGAGGGACAGCAAGGAGACTAGCGGACAGCGAGTGGTGCATGGGTGCTGTAGAGACCACAAACACGCCAGGGCTGCAGGAGACCTGGTGTTCTTCACCGTGGGTAGTGGGTAGAGAGAACTGAGTAATGACTTAGGGATTTTCACCACTCAATTACAGAATGAAGCAGAAGTATGGCTTTGGGAAAATCACACAATCTTATTGTTGAGGGAAGTGAGAAGGCTCATGGTCACCAAACATTCAGGACCATGCCTTGGTTTGGGAGGTCAGAAGTGATGGGACCCCCAAAGTTGAGGCATGAGCAGAAGGAACCAGATTGGAAAGGCAGGGAGTAAAAGGAGAGCCTGAGATCCTGCTGACTTACTGTCATGAGGAGCAAGAAGATCTGGTGTTTCACTGGATCCCAAGAAAAGCTGAAAAAGGAGAGTAGATTTACAACAGCCTAGATCTAAGGAAGCAATGTATCAGGAATGATGCCTCAATATTTCTGTGTCAGAACGGGCCATTTTGAATTTGTGAACAAACATGTCACATATATGTCTTATGAGCAGATAGAAATATTGAGCAGATGGAAATATAGGTCCTGCACAAAGGAATAAAACAGCACTAGAATGTTACTTGAGGGCGTCGTTGACCTGTGAATAGAAATCCACAGGGATGAGTATACTCAAAAAGAGTAGAAGAGAAAGGCAAAGTTGAGGACAAAGATCCAAAGTCAAAACTAGGGATTTAGCTGGGCATGGTGGCACAAGCCCGTAATACCAGTACTAAGGAGGTACAGGCAAAAGGATTGAAAAATCCAGGCCAGCCTGATCTATGGAGACCTTTTCTCAGGAAAAAAAGAAGACTCAGGAAAAGGAATCAACAAAGAGATCACAGGAGATGGACTCAATAAGTGGGTGCTTAATAGAATCAGGTGCAAACACACACACATTTCTCTGGCAGTATGAAAATCTCAGGCAAAGGCTGGGAAGGTGGCTCAGTGGTAGAGTGCTTGCCTTGCATGAATGAGGTCCTGGGTTCGATTCCTCAGCACCACAAAAGCAGAAAAAAACAGAAATGGGGCTGACGCTCAAGTGGTAGAGTGCTAACCTTCAGCTGAAGAGCTGAGGGACAGTGCCCAGGCCCAGAGTTCAAGCCCCACGACCAACAACAACAACAACAAAAAACTCAGGTAACCATGAAAAGATCAATTTAATTTTCAAGGATGGACCTAAATTTCAGGGGGTTTAAAAATGGCAGCGAGGCTGAGCACCGGTGGCTCCTGCCTGTAATCCTAGCAACTCAGGAGGTTGAAAATTTGAGGATCATGGAGCCAGCCCAAGCAGGAGTGTCTGTGAAACTCTCATCTAATTAAACCACTAGAAAACTGGAAGTAGCACTGTGGCTCAAAGTGGTAGAGTGCATTCCTTGAGGGAAAAATCTCAGGGACAGGGCCCAGATCCTGAGTTCAAGCCCCGTGACCAACAGAAAAATGGAGAAAAGAAAATAGAGGTCGGGGAGACCGTCTCTCCACCAGGGTTATATCTGGCCCAGTTTCATAGAGCTCAGAAACAGGGTGCAAAACCCCCACAACTTCTCTGAGCCAAGTACTTGCTTATCACTATAGTAGTAATAGAAAGTATAAAGTCTCATCATTACTGAGAAAGTAAGCAAGTACATAAAAGTCTAACATTGGGGAATAACTCCATAGCTACCATGAAATCGGCACACTGTATCTTTAGCAGGATTGGGGGTGTAAGGAAGGAAATACACTGGAAACCATTTCTACATTTTTCCACCCCCTCGACTATGCAAACCATATAAAACAGGAAACAAATTATTTAGCAGGATTACAGTTGAAATGCCTGGATTTAACACATCCATGTTTACTCATTGTCTTGCATAGCCCAAACAGCAAGCTGCTCAGAGAGTTGTGATATGGCCTGAAATGGGAGAATAGATTCACTGAGTCCTACAGAGCCATTGTGACTCAAAGGCCCTTCACTAACACCACCACCTCCAGGGCTAAAAGTGGACAATATTAAGTGTCCATGGAGCAGAAAAAAGGTGCTCCAACAAAAATGTCACAAAAAGGTGAAACATCAGCAGAATTGACATTAATTGGAGAATCTCTGAACATTGCAACACAGCAGCTTATTTTCCTTCTAAACTAAGACATAGAGCCCTGGCCTATATTGAGCTCCGTGATAGACAAAACCAATGGGCTCCCGTGGCCTTTACAAAAGCAGTATGATTTCCACCAGTGGAAGGCTGAAGTCTCTTGCATTCAGTTCACCCTACTTTCTTTTGGGGGTAACCCAAGTCATGGTTTGGTACAAAGGAAGGAGATGACAGATCTGAAAGTTAGGGTTATTAAGCCAGGTTGCTGGTGACTGATACCCATAATCCTAGTTTCTCAGGAGGCTGAGATCTGAGAATCATGGTTCAATGCCTACCCAGGCAGGAAAGT